CTACCAGTTACTAAATTCATTTTGAATGGATTTCTTTCCGCTCCAGGTGTCACAATTCTTGGAGCAGGTACACCTTACGCGAAACGCATTGATCAATTAATTCAGAGATTAATTGATTCCGGCATTCCAATTAAGTGGATGAAACCTTATACACCGCGGAAAATTGATTTTGCTCAAATTGGTAAATCTTGCAACACCAAAGCAGCAACTTCTAACGTAATGTTATATCAAATGTTGTTCTTTCCCATCATTGGTTACATTTGCTCCATTCTTGTTTTTATTGGCGAATTAATTCTGAATTGGTTCCCCGTGAGGGACATCTGCTGATCGGATAGTAAAAGTTGAACATCGAAAATTTAATTTTGACAAATAACTGCTGTTCTGTAACCCAAGGAAAACTGGAACCACGATCAAGAAAGTACACCTTTGTCGAATACATTAAAAAATTCAAGGTCAGAAATCCAAATTTACCAAACAATCTAAAGTTTTCGAGATAATGGATGAAGTCTCGAAACGGACTTCAACGTAAACTAAATTATTTAATATTTCACTTAATCAGTCCGATATTAAATTAATTAAATTAAAGAATTGAAGTGCATTGTAATTTAAAGAAAAAAATAAGTTTCAATAAAAAATTCACCGAGTGAAATATCCTTTCTTTTATTATTTATAAAGTTGAAAATCGTGTATAACGGTAAATGTCAAGGCCAATCAATAATTTTAAATTACTATTATTTAATATGTAGAATTGAATTGATTTTTACTTTGTAAAAATGTTTAGTATATATTTACACAATAATTTTTTTCTTTTCACAAAACAAAGAATTTATAATTTTCTGACAAACATGCAATATGTACACGATTTTCGAACTACGAACAAACATATCCTCAACTCGATGTCTAAAAAACTCATATGTTGACATTTTATTCACTCTAATTTAGAAAGTTGAAGTTGACTTTATAAATTATAATTTAAAGATGAACCAATGGTAAATATTCTTTACTTTTTCAAAAAAAAAAATATTCGAAATTGAATAGCTCCGAAGTTTGAAAAACATATTGCGCATTTCCAGTCTAGTGTCAAGGTTTAGATATTAAGTTTAAAAAAATTGGCTTTGCTTAGAAATCGTAAAATGTAGATTTGTTATTAGATAATTCAGTTTGAAAAAGCTAACAATTGGAATAATTTTATCAATACCAGTTCATCAATACAAAAATGTTAACAAAGTTGTTCATCAATGTAGGATTAATAATCCTAAACATTATGGAAACCGGATGCGAAAATACGAAATGGATAGAAAGTTTTGTCAAGAATGTTAAATCCGATCTAAACATTAATCAGGTAATTTTTTTAATTGACAATAAAGAAATCACATCTGATCCAACAATTAACGAACTAATTTCGAAGCTAACAAACAACATTCCAGTTCGAGGAATAAATTTTGAAAAATCTGCTAGGAAAAAGCCTACAAAATTGGATTTCAGAATTTACAATCCTAGGATTTCGCTATTTATTGTCACGAATCCTGAAATTGATTTTCAATTTGATTTTCTAAATCAACTCTCAGAAGCAAATCGTCGACCAAAGTGCTTGGTTCTTCTTTCCAAGGAACTAACAAGTCATAGAGAATTTTTCAAAATCCTCTGGGATAAACAGTTCCTGGACGTTACTATTGTAACCATCAATTTAATGAATTCAAAAATCGGTTCCAAAAATCTCAGAGAAACAGTTATTCGTTACAATCCTTTTTCGGGAATAATATCAAAAAAATCCGCATCCTCTAAAACTATTTGGTTTCCTGACAAAACTCAAAATCTATACAGCTATCCAATAGTTGTAAGCTTATTACAAAATAAACCGGATATATTTGAACTGAATGATCAATATGGAAAAATTTCCTATTATGGATTAGGAATAAAGAAATTGAAAACATTGGAAAAATTAATGAATTTCTCACTCGTTAAATCATCAATTCCAATTTGGGGCGATTTAAGTTGTTCGATAAAAAAAAGAACTGGAGTTAACCTTGCTGTTTTTATCAATAAAATCCAAATAGTAGGACCCGAAACAACTATAAAATCTTGCAATGGGAAAATAATTGAATACAGTAAAGGTTTTAGAAGACTGCAATTTGCAATGGTTGTGCCTATTGAAAAAAAAGATGATGATGGTTACGTGGAAATTAAGTGGCAATTGACAAAAGCATTATCACTGATAATTTTACCTCTCACTATTTGGATTATTTCAAAAATCTTGGGATTTCAATTGGGAAAATGGAGAATTGAATATCTCTGTCGAATAATCTTTGGAACAGTCGTTCCAAAAGAGCCGACGAAAATAGCGGAAAGATTAATATTCGCTATATATTTAATTGTATGCCTCATGTTCTCCTCGGACTTTTTTACAATGATAACAGACGTTCAATTGAAAACAAAATCATCTTTCAAATACGAAAGTTTGGAGGAGATTATTGACTCAGATTTGCAGATTATAATTCACAAGAACCATCACTATATTCATAAAAATGTTGATGATGTAATATTGCAAAAAATTCTGAAAAAATCTACTATTACCTACAATAAAAATGAGGAATGCGTGGAACAATTATTGAAACATAAAAATTTAACTTGTATTGTTGAAATTTCAGAAGTGAAAGAAATTGTTCGAAATCAAAGAGACAAATGTGGACGACCACTTATCAAATTTATCAAAGATGGATTTATGTCTGGTCCAGCAATAACGCAGCTTGGAGCAGGTTCGCCTTATGCAAAACGCATTGATCAAATAATTCAGAGATTAATTGATTCTGGAATTTCGAATAAGTGGATGGAACTTTATAGAACACGGAAAAATGCTTTCACTCAAATTGACAAATCTTGCATGACTAGAGTACCACAGTATATTTTAATGTTACGACAAATGCTGTTTTTTCCTATCCTCGGATATATTTTCTCCGTTCTTGCTTTCATTGTCGAATTAATCCTAATTTGAACAAGTAGCATGTGAGCTTGTCGAAAAATCTTATGGTTAATGTTTTACGTCAACTAAACTTTATTTAATTTAATCTTTATTTTTTCTTATGTTTACTTGGCCTAATTATCAAGTAGCCTTGAAATATTTAACCTTTATTAATAATTTTAATTAATAGAAAACAAATTTAAAGTTATATTGCCGTTGCTACTCATAATAAATCGGTACAGAGGGGGATTTATGAAAGAGTGCTGCAAGAATTGTCACCAAAAAAAAGTAATTTAAATCAACTACAATAAATTAACTAAAATTAAAAAAAAATAAATTTTAATTTAATTAAACATTTTTGATTTAAAACACAATTTTCAAAATCTTTATGGAATAGTCAAAACACAATAAAAAGGGACAGTTAATAATTGCACAGGAATACACGGTTTTGGACCCGAGCAACGAAAATCTGTACCTAAAGTAAATTTTAACGCTGAATTCGAATCCACAGTCCGTTTTTTTTACTACACGTCAGGTTTTTGAGATAATTGAAATTTTAAATTTTTGATGCTTTTAAAAAATTGTTATTGTTAATTAAACTATATTACTTATAAAAAAAGTCATAACTTTGTGCAAGGTTTCTGGGATCGCTGATTACAAATATGAATTCAGATTTTTAAAATTCAAAATGGCGGATTTAATATGGCGGACAGAAATTTAAAAATTGATTGGATTTGCTTGAAACACGTAACTTAAGGGTTTTTGAAGTCACTGATGACGAATCTGACATTAGATTTTTAAAATTTTAAATGTAGAATCCAATTTAACGGATGACAAAATTAAAAATTAATTGTCCTTGCTTAAAACTTGTTACTTGGAGGGTTTCTGAGGTTGCTGATTACGAATTTGACAACACATTTTTAAACGAGTTTTAAGCAAATCCGATCAATTTTTAAATTTTTTCCGCCATTTTGAATTTTTGAAATCTGATGGCAAATTCGTAATCAGTGACCTCAAAAACCTCCCGAATAACAAGTTACAAGCAAATCCAACTAATTTTTATTTTTATTGAAAATAGATGACAATGCCTTTGGAGCTTGCCGACAAGAGACCGATAAAAAAAACTTTTTCTTTCGTTATCATGTACCGGTCTTCTTTTGTCTTCTACTAACAAACATAATTTTCGTGTGTTGATACAGGGACGAATTGTAAGAGTATTTTTGAGACCTTTTCATTCCTTGATAATAATAAATTATTACCTTACTAAATATGTTTCAATGTTAAATAAAAATATTTATACCACATATGCTCGAAAAACTCGTTTTATTGATAGTGTGAAGCGGATTGTAACAAACGTTAACTGACATTAAGTTAAAACAAAAAAAAAAAAAAAGAATTGAAGCAAATTGTAATTGTAATTATGTATTTAAAGAATAAAAATTATTTAATAACTTCAGTTTGAATATAAAGTCAAATCTATCTTTACAATATCCTTATTCCTAAGTAGAATAAATTTTAAGGATAGGTCCTAGTAAGGCAGCACCACCTATATCGAAACTAAAATTTTGGAAAATTATTTACAGTATTTACTTGAAAGCAAGACAAAACAATACTTTTTTTTTGTTATTTTCATGATTGGTGAATCTCAGCTGGTATATTTTTTAGTATTTATTAATTCTCCAAATGAAAATTGCATTCTTTTTTGTTATTTCCGAGAAAATATCTTAAAAGTTTTCGTAAAAAAATAATATGCTCATATTTAATTTATCGTCATTAATTTTTTTTCATTATTTTAACTCAAAAAAAAGTTTTAGCTGGTATATTTCTTGACAATAATCAATTTTCCTAAAGGAAAAAGTTTTTTATTGTCTTGCTTTCAAGTAAATACTGTAAATAATTTTCCAAAATTTTAGTTTCGATATAGGTGGTGCTGCCTTACTAGGACCTACCCTTAAGAGAAAGAAAATTTTGTTTTTTTTAATTGAAAAAAAAGGAAATTTTTTTATAGGATAAAGGGAAAAAATTTTTAAGACTTTTCAAATGATTTTTTTGTTTTTATAATTTTATTCATAGAAATAGATAAAAAGAATTGATTTACTTCTTTTTGGAGACACCAACAGTTCGTCCACGTCTACCGGTGGTTTTGGTATGTTGACCACGAACACGAAGACCCCAATAATGACGAAGACCTCTGTGGGCTCTGATTTTCTTCATACGTTCCAAATCTTCACGAAGTTTTGAATCCAAATTGGAACTCGTGAGCTGATGAAAATTATTTTTGTTTATTTAAATATATTTTTTTTTCATTAGGAAAACAAATTCTAATTATTTTTTATTTTATTTTATAATTTTTTAATATCAAATATTGACAATAATAATAAAATAATAATAACTAGTCTGAAAAAAATTTCCCTAACATTTTCCAATTTTCCAGACCTAAATTTTTTTTCAGTTTTTAGAATAGATATAATAGATTACAAAAGCTGCACTGCTTAATTTTACGTTTTTATTTAAGGAAAAAATTAATTTTTATTCAAAGAAGAAATTAAATTTTATTCATGGTAACATTCATAAATGATAAATATAAAACAAATGTTTTTAAAACTAATTATTATTAAAACAAATTGAATTTTCTTGAAAAAAAAAAAAAATGCAAATGGAAAATACGATTTAAAGTTGGCGCTATTAATTTATAACTAAAAAAATTGTGAAACTATATTGTGAACATTAAAATTAAAAATATTATTTATGAATAATCAAAAGTAAGGACGGAAAAAATTCCCTGACTTTCAGAAAAAATTGTTATTTTTAAATTTAAGACCATGTTCAAAACAAAGAAAACAAATAATATTCCTTTAAAAGTGATTGAAAATATTCTAATTGCATAAAGATAACATTTAATTTGGTAAAAAATTTTTTTTTATTAAATTCAAAATAGGTAACGAACCTGAAGTACGCAACGTTTATGATAAACGATTTTTAAAGAGAGAATTTTTAAAAATGGAAAATTCTATAATTTTTTACCTAAAAAATATTTCTTGTAGTTTTCATTAATCAACAAATTATAAAAAAATATTTTTTAGGCAAAAAATTATATAATTTTTCATTTTAAAAAATTATTTCTTTAAAAATCGTTTATCATAAACGTTGCATACTTCAGCTTCGTAATAGGTACCGATAAATTTTGCTAAAAAAAAAAAAAAAGGTTTTTGAATTTACTTTTAAAAAAAAGTGTTCGGAAAACTAATGCAGAAAAAAAAATATTTTTTACTTCAACTTTTTTTTATACAATCAATATAGTTTGTGAGAAAAATAAAGAAACTGTTTTCTTTTTACATGGTTTTAAATCGATTTAACACCCAAGGCCCTGGCACCTGGAATTTTCTATTTTTTTTCTTGATTTTCATTTATACATGTGATTTGAAAACAAAAAAGAAAATGTTCGCATAAAGCATTGTTTTAAAAATCATTGATTTAAAATATTATTAATAATAAATGTTCTCTGCAAAAACAAAAAAAAATTTTTTAACTGCAAAAATGATTTATTTTAATATTTTATATTAAAATTTTTCATTTTTTAATCATGTAGGGTAAGTGTATCAATTGCGGCGCGTTCTTAAAAAATAATTATTATTACTATTATATGTAATTTAACTTGCAAAATGAATTTAAAAATTATTATTTTAATCTTTTTTTTATACAATTACTAATAAAGATGCACATTTAAACAAATTATTAATTTAATTTTTTGAGATCAAATTTTTTCCCTCGTCGTAATTGTTAAAATTTTCATTTTATGGAATTTCATTTGTCATTATTATTTTTAAGCCAAATTTTCATTTCTTCGAATTAGTATTTTGCAGAATTTTCATCAAAACGATTTTCAATATTACAGAATTTTTATATAACCGAAAAATTCACTTCACAGAATTTTTTTTGTTCGAATTTTTATTTGTTGGAATTTTTATTTGTCAGAATTTTTATTTTCTCGAATTTTCATTTAACATAATAGGCATATCTTAAAGAATTTTTATTGGGTAGAATTTCATTGCATAGAATTTTCATTTTATTCTTTCAAATGAATTTACATTTGTTCGAATTATTATTTGATTAAATTTCCATAAAACCGATTTTTCTGCAGAATTTTTACTTAACCGAAAAATTATTTAACAGAATTTCTAATTGATACAATTTTTATTTGTCCGATATTGCAAATGGCCGAAACAACAATCGATTTTGGGGCGATTTTTAAAATCAACCAATCACAATTTTATGGGTTAATTTTTGATTGATTGATTTTAAAAATTGCGCCGAAATCGATTGTTCGGTCATTTGCAATTTCGGACAAATGAAAATTCTATCAATTATAGAAATTCTGTTAAATTATTTTTCGGTTAAGTAAAAATTCGGAAAAATCGGTTTTATGGAAATTTAATCAAATAATAATTCGAACAAATGTAAAATTCATTTGAAAAAATAAAATGAAAATTCTATGCAATGAAATTCTACCAAATAAAAATTCTTTAAAATTCCTATTATGTTAAATGAAAATTTGAGCAAATGAAAATTTGAGCAAATAAAAATTCGTACAAATAAAAATTCTGTGAAGTGAATTTTCGGTTATATAAAAATTTTCTAATAAAAGAAAATGGGTTTGATGAAAATTCTGCAAAATACTAATTCGAAGAAATAAAAATTCGGCTCAAAAATAATTATGACAAATGAATTTTTCTATTTCAAAGGTGTTTTGACTCGAATCGCGTCGTAATTAGTACATTTACCCCATAAAATTTAATCATTTTTGTAGGTTTCAAATTTTTTAAATAAAAAATTGTTTTCTGAAGCTCTAGATTCAATAGTATAAATTACGGCAAAAAATATTTATTACGATTAGACTAAAAAAAGAAAAAAAAACTCACCTGTGAGTACTTTCCATCAACGATGTCTTTCTGTCTGTTGAGGAACCAGTCAGGAATTTTATACTGTCTGGGATTACTCATAATAGTCACGATCTTTTCTACCTGCAGAAATTTAAACAAAAAATAAAATTAACAATAATAATAATAATTTAAAATAAAAATAAATAATTCTTATACCAACTTTATTAAAGAAAATTTTTATTTAACAGAATTTCAAAATTAAAAGCTAAAATTTTCTTCTAAACAAATTTATGTTCAATCGAATTTAAAGAAACCAAAAATTTTTCTTTACCCAACTGCATTCATTTAAAAATAATTTTAATTTAATTGAATTTTAATAATTAAAATTATTAAATTAATTTCTTTGCAAAAGATTCATGTTTAAAAAATGCAGTAATTTATTTATTTATTTATTTTTTTTTATTTTACAAATCGTGAAATAAATGTTTTTAAAAGCAAAATTTTCATGTAAGAAATATTTTTATTTAAAGCTTAAAATTTCTTATATAAATTTATTCTTTTTAGCAAATTCTCCCACTTGTAATTTTTTTTTTTTTTTTTATGAAATTTGATGTTTATTTTCTTTTTCGTAAACATTAATTATACAGTGATAAATATTTATAAAACAATAATAATAGAATAAAAGTGAATCTCACCTCTTCTTCGGAACATTCTCCGGCGCGTTTGTCCAAATCAATATCCGCTTTTTTGAGGACAATATTTGCGTAACGCCTTCCAACTCCCTTAATTGCGGTCATTGCGAACATAACTTTTCTGTTTCCGTCAATGTTCGTGCCCATGACACGCAAAATATGTTGGAACTTCTCTGGGATTACTAGCGACTATAAAAAAAAATAAAAATAGAAAATAAAGAATAAAAAAACTAAATTGATTTAGAAACAAAAAAAAATTTTAAATTTAACATCACATTTGAAATAATTATCACTTTTAACCGTATTCAATAATTTTAATTTTTTAAAAAATTTTGTTATTTAAAAATAAATTTCCCTATTTTTCTTTGTAACACATAAAGTTGCATTTATTAAATACAAAACAAATAAATTAAAAAACAAAACGAAAAAAAAAATTAAGAAATTTTAAAAATGACAATTTTTTAATAATCAAAATAAGCAAACATAACCTAAAATTTGAAAGAACGAAAATTTTTTGCAAAACATTCAATAATTATGACACAAAAGTTAAAAAAAAAAAAATTGTCTATAAAATATAATTGGAAAAAATATATATTAAAATTGAAAAATATTGAAAGATATACCGCTTAACTTAACCTTAAAATGACAAAAAAAATAAAACGAAAAAATAGTAATATTAACTTCTTAAATAATTTTCTATTGTAAAATAAATATTAGTTTTTTATATTCTAATCTACTCTCCTTCTTTTTCTTTATTTTATTTTAATTAAAAAAGAACTGTCAACACAAAGCACGATTTGGAAGCATTAATTAATCACACATTTATAATAAACAAAATCCTCATTGAATGAGCACAACTTTTAGAAAAAAATTATTAAGACACTTCAATTTTATGCACTGATTGTAAAAATTTATTTATTTTCCTAACGATGTTTCTGATTAAATTGGATTTCAATAAAATTATAAACGAAAACTCACCATCTTGGCAAAGTGTCAGAAGAAAAAGATTCTAAAAATATCATACAGCTATATCGCCAGCAATGGGAAACAATTGACAAAGAGTATTATTACACATCAGGGATGGCAATGTGTTCATTTAGGTTGCGTTAGTGTGACGTCATTAGTTGAACGTTTGAAATGTAAACGTGAAACACAAAATTCTAAGGCTGCTTTCACAATAAAGTTAAATCAATCGTATAATTATGAAAACGATTGTAGTATTGGGATCAGAAATCACGCGAAACTGACCCACCCCTGAGCCTTCTTGTGACAACCATCTTGGTTTTTTATCTCTTTCTTTTGTATATGTTAGAGAAACACGGAATGAAAACATGGCCACCACAACAAGGCTCTCACCAGATGGCGTATAGCAGTATTTCAGATCCCAATAAAAAAAGGAGAGTATAAAAATAAAAGTGCTTTTATACCTCTAATTTCGATCAGATAAACATTTTTTCTGGACCGTGAAAATGCATGTCACTGAATGTGATTGGCTCTACAAATATTCCATTTTCACTTATTTTTTAGTAGAGCCAATCACATTCACTGATTTGCTTTTTCACGGTCTAGAAAAAATGTTCATCTGATCGAAATTAAGAGGTATAAAAGCACCTTAAGTATATTTCGGAAAATGCAAAGTGAAGAAAATTTTTTGCCGTAGGTGTAAATGCTCCATTATTCACAATCTGATTGTGGACAAACAATGAAGTTTGTCCATTATACAAAATAGAAAATAGTTTTTTTTTACAGAAAAAAATGCTCTATTACTCATGTGATTGCTCCTTTACTGTTACGTACCATTACGCACTATTACGTAGACTACACGAACTTACCCCTATTTTCAAAACTGTACTTTTAGTTGTTCTAGAAAATCATTGATCAGTGACTAAATACAACGCACTTCGTGTTATATATCTATATATATACCGTATATACTCCGATATATATAACCTGAATATAATAATGTAGTTTATCCAAATAAAATTCTAGTTTGTTGTTTAAAAAATCTTAATTATTATAATTTAAAAATGTACTTAATATCAGCATTAATAATTTTTAACATTCCACAAGTGAATAATGTAAATTTTCATATTATTGCCAAACAATAAATGAAATATAGTCACAACGATTAAGGTTATGTGAGTTTCCATTTTTAATTTATGGCTTTCAAACATCTCCTTCTCTGTCACTCTTTCTTTATCAAATGCAAACAGCTTGCATCGTTGAATATTTTTGTAACTAAAAAAAAAAAATTCTTTTAATCAAATAATTTGTGATTAAAAATTACATACATTTTTAACCTACATTTTAGAAGTGAACTTAAATATTATTTCTTTAGTTTTCATATATATGTGAAATATGAGAAATTTGCAATTTTTTTTTATGGTGTAATAAAATTTTATTGCTTTCCAAGAAGTGATACAAAATGTATATTTAACAAAGAAAAAAATTATTGAAATTTGTGAAACAAAAAAGAATGTTTAATTTTACTATTGTTTTATAATATTATTTAATATTTCTTTTCTTTGTTCTTATAATATAATTACTTTGGTGTTGAGTTCTTTGAACTTCGTGGCGTGGCAAAGAGAATTTATGAAAGTGTGTATATATATTCTTCATTTTCAAAAAAATCGAAAATAAAGGTTCATTTTTTACGAAAATAAAATTTATATTTACAATTTTTATAAACTTTTCGTTTCTTTTATTTATTTTATAAAAATTTTTTTTCTTATTTCCAAAAAATGTATTAAATAAATAAAAAAAATGTTTAATAAAAGATTTATTTGTTATTTAATTGTAATTAAGAATAAAAATATAATTAAATTTTTATTTAATTACAATTTTAATATAAATATTTTAAATAATCTTATTTTATTTTAATTAAACAAATTTTATTTGATTTAAAATTTTTTTTAATGGAACTAATTTTTACTTTTTTTTCGCAAAAAAAAACAAAATTATTTTAAAATTTATTTAGAAAAATATTTTTAAAATTTAATTTTTATAATAGTTTGTGTGTCATTATTTTTCTCTCTTGTTTTCAGGTAAATCTTTCTGCAAACAAAGGAAAATTTAATAATTCCAATTTGAATCTCAATGTTTCTAATTAATTTTATTTGTGAAATGTTGATTGCTTTCAATAGTTGAATGCTTTGAAAATAACTAAACATCTCAAGCTGTAAGTAGTTTATTCGAACAAAATTTAATTGAAATTCGTATTTTAAATGTAGATATTAATATGCAATTTTATCTTTAAAAAAATAATACATATGAGGCATTTTATATAAGAATACCGGGGTCATGTCTCGGATTTTTCTCAAAATTCGGTAAATTGTAGTGATAGTGGTGCTAAATAAGTGTACAAATTTTGAATTTGAAATTTTTAATATTTTTCCAGATATTTACAATAACAAATTTGAGCAATATTTTTTTGCTTTACTTATAACATTTTTCCTATTAAAAATAGAGAAAAATGTTGTAAATGTTTTTTACGCAGAAGACCTTAAATTTTTAGAAAAAAATTTTAATTTTTAAACATGTTCTCCCTCATTTGGAAGCGCGAAAAAAATCATGAATATTGTTTAAGTCATAATAAATCGATGGTTAAATTTTTGAGATGGCATTATTTTTTGTTTTCGAGATATTAATTAATTAACTAACAAAAGTTAATAAAAAATGAAATATTTTACAAACAAATCAAAATTAGAGTAATTTTTAAAAAACTATAAGAATGCTTATTAAAATCCGCATCCAACGAGCCCTATATGAACTATTTTGGATAAACGGGTGTTAAATAAATAATTAATAATAAAAATTATTTAAATAATTAATAACATTTGAAGAAATGAAGATAAATCTTTAATTCTTTTTTTATTTGGAAGATCATCTAATTCTGTGTTAAATAAAACCAGTGTAAATAACATTTTTGACAAATATAAATTATTAACAGATGATTATTGAAAATCCATGTTTCATCACACCACGACACAATTTGGAGGAGGCTGTCTATCTACTCGGCATGTTATTTTTCAATCTTTTTCTAAATAACATGTTATAATTAATTTTTGATTCTTGTTAATACTTAATATTCTTTTTTTGACACAGAATTAGATGATCATTTAAATAAAAAATAATTGACGATTTATCTTCATTTCTTCAAATCTTATTAATTATTTAAATAGTTTTTATTATTAATTTAACACCCGTTTATTAGAAATAGTTCATAGAGGGCTCGTTGGATGCGGATTTTGATAATCATTCTAATGATGTTTTTAAAAATTACTCTAATTTTATTTGTTCGTAAAATATTTCATTTTTTATTAACTTTTGTTTGTTAATTAATTAATATCTCGAAAACAAAAAATAATGCCATCTCAAAAATTTAACCATCGATTTATTATGACATCTTCTGCGTAAAAAACATTTTACAACATTTTTCTCTATTTTTAATAGGAAAAATGTTATAAATAAAGCAAAAAAATATTGCTCAAATTTGTTATTGTAAATATCTGGAAAAATATTAAAAATTTTAAATTAAAAATTTGTACACTTATTTAGCACCACTATCACTACAATTTACCGAATTTTGAAAAAAATCCGAGACATGACCCCATATTCTCATATGAACTGCCTCATATATACAAAATCCCTCCCAAAAATATTCTTTTTTAAAATTTTATAAAATTATTTTACATTGAAAAGAAAAAGTAAAACGGCAAGAAAATATAAATAAAGTACAGAAATAATAAAATACATATAATACAGATATTTTTATTTTTTTTTTAATAAACTAATTACCAAAAAATATATTTTAAAGAAATATTTTTCTTCAATGTATCAGAAATTTTTCGAAAATAACGACAATAACGTAATATGATTAAAAAAGGGAAAAAGAAAAGAAACTTTATTGTATAATGAAATTCACAGATGTTTGGTTCGGTGCAAATAAAGCAAGAATATAATAATCCAGAGGATAATCAAAATGGTACAAGCGTGCAAAATAACTTTGAATATTCTTCATTCACTAGTCAGGATGTTGAGTACATATATCGACAATTACCCCATTTTTGGAGTCAAACACAAATGCCAAGTGTTCAATTTTGTGAAGGAAATCAATCAAAGCATGACGTTCCTTTTCGCCAAGACATCCATCCACATGATGTAAGTCAATTTTACAATTTTAATAAATTAAGAAATTTTTTTTTTTTCATTCTTTTTAAATGGTGAATCCAACAAAAAACAATTGAAATAAAAATTTAATAATTTTGTATTTTTTTAATAAAAATACAATTAAAATTTTTAATCTTATTATTTTTAATATTCTTTACACTTATAATAATAATAATAATGCTTTGTAAAAAAATAATATTAGTGATAATTAAATGAATTTTTTGCTTCACACAATGAGGAAGCATAATGTTTATGAAATAAACATAAAGGACCCCCTCCTTGTTTATAATATTCTTCAAAAATTTAATTATTTAAAAGCATTTTTAATTAAAAAAACTTTTTCAATTCAATTTTTGTCTGTAATTTCTAATAAATTCTTCATCAACAGAAATAATTAAAAAAATCTAAATTGTAAATCTTTGAAAATTCAATAATTTTTAAAGAATGTTATCTAAAATTATTTGATAAATTATTTTCAAATTCAAATTCTTTCTGTTAAATGATTTATCGGTTAAGTAAAATTTCTGTAGTATGAAAAATCGGTTATATGGATATTATATCAAATAATTCGAACAAATGAAAATTCATCTAAATGAAAATTCTATTCAATGAAATTCTACCCAATAAAAATTTCTTTTATTATAATTATTGTCTGAAATTTAACAGAATCATTTGATATTCAATTATTTTCAAAAATTTCAATTTAAAAGTTTCTAAAATTTTCCATCTAAAATTTTTTGAAATTTAACAAAAAATTTACCAAAAATTTTAAAATTAAAATCACTTGAATTTTAATTATTCTTAAAAATTTTAATTCAAAATCAATTATTTAAAAAATTTCAACTAAAATTCAACTATTTCAAAAATTTTAATTTAAAATCAATTATTTCAAAAATTTTAACTAAAATTCAATTATTTTAAAAATTTTCAATTTAAATATCATCTAAATTCAATTATTTTCAAAAATTTTAATTTAAAATCAATTGAAATTCAAATTCAATTATTTTCGAATTTTTCAATTTAAAAGATTCTAAAATTTAATTATTATTTCTAAAATTTTTTGAAATTTAATAATTTCAACGGAAATTCAATTATTTTTAATGATTTTTATATTATTCTCCGAAAATTTAACTATCTGAAACCATTTTTCAATTAAAAAGTTTTCAAATTATTGTATTTTTTTTCCAATTTCTAAAAAATTTTTTATTGAAATCATCAGAAATTTTAAATTAAAAATCACTTGAAGTTCAATTCATTTCAAAAATCAAAATTGTAAATCTTTGAATATTCAATTACTTTTAAAAAATGTTAATCTAAAATTATTTGATAAATTATTTTTAGTTCTGTAAAATTTAATTATTGTCTGAAAATTAACAAAATCTTTTGAACTTCAATTATTTCTAAACAATTTCAACTTTAATTCTTTTAAAATTATTATTTAAAAAAAAATTTTTTATTTGAAAATCTATAAAATTTGATTAAGTATTACCTGAAATTTTTTTTGACCATCATAACTGAAAAACTATGACAAAATTTTTAATTCGAATAAATTGCTTAAATTAGACTTGAAAAAATTATAAAAATGGAAATTTAAGAATTTTTTTTCTAAATTTGTCCTATTTAAATAAAATTTTGAAAATTTATCTTACAATTAGTTTGATTCTGAAATATTGGAAATAAATTTTCTTGATAATATTTTTATAGAATTTTTCTCATTACAGAATTATTAAAATGAATTTACTATTTAATAACATTAGTTATTTAAAGTAAAATATTCATTAACCAATTAAATTTTGTTAAAATAAATCAAACGACTTTCTTTCGAATATAAATCGACTAAAACGTCTTTTTTCTGCCTTAAAATCGATCCAAGGCATGTAAATAATAATTATTCTAAAAATCTTCCAATAAACTTTTCAGCAGTCGCAATCTCAGTTCGCGGTGATGAATTATCTACATCCATTCCCAATGAGCCAGTCAGAATCACAACAACAACAACAACAATCAGCACCACCACCACAATCACAACCAGTGGTGAGTGAATCGAATACAATTGGAATCACAAATAATTCTGAACTCTCACAATCGCCCTCATCAGTGATAAAGCGTACAGCAACTAGTCCAACAAATAAATCGTCTTCCTCAACTGATTCCAATTCAAAAAAAGCCAAGTGTCATTGTGAAATTTGTTTCAAGGAATTTGGACATAAATCAAATCTTTTTATTCACATGCGCACACATAATGGTGAACGTCCCTATAAGTGTCCCCAATGTGATAAGTGTTTTACACATAGTGGCAATTTGGCAATTCATATGCGAACACATTCAGGTGAAAAGCCATATGCATGTCAAATTTGTGGCAAAATGTTTAGTCACAGTGGTAATTTATCGACGCATTTGCGAACGCACTCGGGAATAAAACCCTATAAATGTAATGTGTGTTCAAAAGAATTTCGTCACAGTGGTAATTTATCGATTCATGAACGTATACATTCGGGAGTTAAGCCATTTCAATGTAAATTATGTGGCAAGGAATTTTATCATAGTGGCAATTTAACGACACACATGAAGAAACATCAAAACGAAGAGGGATTATTGCCACGCGATGATATTGGTAAAAATTCCGATGTTCAAGAGGAAGTGAATCAAGATTCCCTGAGACCCCTACCCGAGGGAGGTATTCAATGTGACACTATTAATAGTATTTAGATAATTAGTACTTTAAATGGAGATTTTTTGCAGATAAAAAAACAGCTTTCTTTCTTTTTTATTTCTATGCTTCAAACAGGAAGACGTAAATTAAATTCAGTTTCATGTGAAGGAAAATTTGTCAATGCATTTGTTATCGTCATTGAAAAAATTTTTGAACCGCATAAATATATTCCGTAAAAATCATTTTCATTTGTATGAATTTCATTTGAAAGAGTTTCTTTTGAGAATTTTCGAAAATAAAAAATTATATTAAATAAGATTTCGTTTACAAAGAAAGTGTAACTAATTCGAAAAAAATGAAAATTCTTAAAAGAAACTCTATCAAATGAAATTCATATACAAATGAAAATAATTTTTACGAAATATTCATTGCGCCCAAAATTTTTAACTAAGAAAAAATTCTAATTTAAAAAATACAGATTTCCTAAATAATATAGAAATACTATTTTAAATAATATAGTAAACAAATCTAACTGCTGTATTAAAAAAAAAAGTGTTTTTTTTACCTTCTTTTACACAATTTGAACGAAGCTGAAGTACACAACGTTTATGATAAACGATTTTTAAAGAAATTTTTTAAAATGAAAAATTTTATAATTTTTTGCCTAAAAAATATTTTTTTATAATCTATTGATTAATGAAAACTACAAGAAATATTTTTCAGGCGAAAAATTAAAGAATTTTTCATTTTAAAAAATTATTTTTTTAAAAATCGTTTATCATAACATGTTGCCAACTTCAGCTTCGTAATTTGACGATTATTCGTGCATTTACATATTTTTAAAACAATAGAAATAAAAAAAAAGAGAAAAAGAAGAATGAAAAGATTATCGCGTGAGCCGAAATAAAAAATCGATATATTTACCCATTCTTTTAACCTTATTTTCGAAACTTAATTATAGAAAAAAACTTTTTTGAAAATATTTTCTTTTAACATCCAAAATCACACGATTTCTTTTCCTTCTTATGTATAAATAGTTGATACATACATTAATTTATTTTCATTTCTGTTTTATTTCCCCTTTTCATTAAATATATATATATTCGTAAACTTTTATAAATATAGATGATAAAAAAAAAGTTTATCGATAAAAAAAAAAATTGTTGCAACTATATTCAAGAGTAAATTTTGTTTTTTTTTGTTAAATATATTCTTTTATATTTATTAATGTAAACATTCATTAGGCCATGTTCAAGTCGAAGGGAACTGTAAAAATAGATAGAGGGATTAATATTTATCCTTGTATTATTCTTTTAAGATTAAATATAAATATATTTATAAAAAATAGAGAGAGAGCGAGAGATTTTGCTTTTATGAAAGCAATGTTATAATTTTTGAAAAAAATTTGTGATTTTCAGTATATGATTTAAAAATATATAATTTAAAGTATATAATTTAAAATATATTGTAAAAGTTAAGAAAAGTGTAAGAATTTTTGAGAAACAAAAATTGTTTCACTCGCTACATAAAACTTGAACATGGCTTTATAAGTAAAGGAATAAAATGAGGTTAAACGAATACTTAATATTTTGAGTGTTTTTGAAATATTATGTAAAAAATGCGATATTTTATTTACTTAAACGATTTTCGAAATATAGTAAATTCGAGTTTAAATGAATTTATACAACGCATTTAACTATTATGAATCGTTCTAAACAATTTCTTTTTTTAGGAAATTTTATCAAATACATGAATTTAAGTTCATTCAAAATCTGTAGTTCGAAAAAAGAACTCAAAAAGAGAACCAAAATTTTTAAATGCCTAAATATCCGATAACACTTTCGGAAAATTAAAATTAAATCTTCCACTCACGTTTTGCATTTGGTTTTTAATTTGATTTTAGGATATTTAAATGTTCTTAAAAATTGTCCTTTTTTTAAACCGAAAATTCATTTAACAGAATTTCTATTTGATAGAATTTTAAATTAACAAAACTTATTTCTTCGAATTAACTTTTGGGCGTGAATTCTGCTGAATAAAAATTCGTTTGAATGTTGTTAAATGAAAATTCGAATAGAAATTCTCAGTGAAGTAAATAATGTTCGATTATGTAAAAATTCTCTAATATAGAAAAGCGATTTAATTTTTTAAAAATTAATAAATAAACAAACAAACAATAAATAATTAAATAAATAATAATCAATAATTTCATATGAAAATCTTCTGTAATTTTCAAGGATTTCATAGATTTAGTGGCAAGTTATTCATTGCTTGATTTATCTATTTGATATCTATTTGATACAAGAAGATCACAGTCTTCTTGTATTTTTATGAAATTAATTTACTTGATTATTCTTATATTATTTATAAGAATATATAATTATAATTAATTATAAAATATATAATTCTTATATATTTTTAATATAGCAGTAAATGTATTGGGATCTGAAATACTGCGATACGCCATCTGGTGACGACCCCGTTGTGTCAGCCATTTTTCGTTTCATCCTTTTTAAAATATATATAGAAGAAAGAGATAAAAAATCAAGATGGCTGACGCAACGGGGTCAGTTTCCCCATAATTCTCTATGATTTCAGATCCCTATAATTAATAACAATATTAATACAAATTCATGTTCCTTGTTTCATTAATGCAGAATTTAGTTTCCAAATACAAAATTTTGGATACAAAATTATTCGCATTTCTTTTCAAAGAAATACAGCATCTTACCAAATTTATAACTGGTGGTAGTTCTTACGTTGTTGATGCTGACTTTTACTATTTTTCAAACCTATGAAAAATTTTAACAATTTTCATTGATTTCATAGATTAAATTCGTATTCGTTGCTTGATTTATTTGTTTGATATCCATATAAGAGAATCACAATCTTATTGTAATTTTATAAAATTGATTGACTTTTCAATTATATTTTAGTTTTCATTTGAAATACTCAAAAATTTGAGAGTTTATCTTGAAAACTTTATTAATTACTGACTTGATAATAAAAAAATACTGATTGAAATGTCTTCCGAATAAGAACTAATGAAAGTGACCGCCAAATAAGAACTGAATTTTTTTTCAAAAAAATGTATGGTTTATATAGTGGAAAATCAATCTTTATATTGATTTCAAAGATTTAATTGCATACGTTGCTTGATTTAGCTGTTTGTAATTCATACAAGAAGATAATAGTCTTCTTGTAATTTTATGAAATAATTAATTCCTTAAGGCCATGTCCAAGTCGTGTCAGCTGTTCCATTGAAACTTCAAAGGAACAGCTGACTCGACTTGGACCTAGCCTTAAAACTATAATTTTGGAAAATTTTCAATAGCCTTTTCTCGAAAACAAGAAGGTAAAATGCGTTTTTCTTTATGGATAATTGATTATTAGCAAGAAATACACCAGCTAAAACTTTTTTTGGGTTAAAATGATGAAAAAAATTTCATGTCGATAAACTCTGTTGTTTAATAATCGTTCTGAACTAGTAACTTTAGTTCCTTCCTGAAATAAATACTTACACTACCGTTGTAAATTTTGCGATCTCTGCTTTTTCAATGACTATAAAACGGTTTAAATATTCAAAAATATTAAAACTAAAATTTTTTCCTTATTATTTTCTAAAAGCAAATAAAATTCTGAATCAAATAACACCTCGACAAAGAGAATATGTTAATTTTTCTATTAGCTATCTAAAAAAAACCCCGATTTTCAATGTTTTTACTATTTTTTTTATTTCTCTGGCAAAAATTAATATTTTTAAATGTTCTTGGGCTCATTGGAATGGTATTTTGTTATAAAATTCAAATTATGCAAACCGTGAAAGTTGACTCAAGAAAAGTCAAAAAGTTTAAAATGCTCTATTTACTTGATTTTTAAACATGATATTTTGTTGTAAACATGTATTTTAATTTTTTGACTTTTTTTAGCCAACTTTCACGGTTTGCATACGCTAGGGAAAAATTTAAACATGAATTGTTTTAAATATGTGACGCGTCGCGAAGAAAGAGACCTTAGGAGCAAAAAATTATAGGTTATATTTTGAAATTTTAAAGTGAAAATACACAAAGCGGATTAAATTTTAATGCAAACCAATGATGTTTAAGTCTTTTCTTTATATTTAAAATAATCAATAAAAACTGATTTTGATGTGGCAGAAACGAAAAAAAACTGTCGTAAACATAACCTATAATTCATTTGCTTTTAAGGTACTTTTCTTCGCGACGCGTCACATATTTCGAATTGTATAACAAAATACCATTCCAATGATCCCAAGAATGTTGAAAAATATTAATTTTTTACAGAGGAATAAAAAAAATAGTAAAAGCATTGAAAATTGATTTTTCTTAGATATCTAATTGAAAAATTAACATATTCTCTTTGTCAAGATTTCATTTCTTTCAGAATTTTATTAGCTTTTATAAAATAAAAAGGGAAAAATTTTAGTTTTAATATTTTTGAAGATTTAAACCGTTTTATATAGTCATCGAAAAAGTAGAGGTCGCACAATTTCCGACGTTAGTGTATTTTAATCATTTTTACTTCTGAAAGTGTAAATCTTCTTGAGTTGAGAAAGTCGAACCTATTTTTTAAATCGTAATATTAAAACAATTGAATACCAATATTATCAACAATAGAACAAAGAATTTATTAAATATTTTTCAAATAAGAAATTCAATACAGACGCCGAAGTCACGCCACAATGCAAAAGCAGTGAAAATTGAGGTTATGTCTCTTCTTCGAGTTCAATATATCGATATATAGTCAACGAAATATTTTAATATTCGATATATTTCAAAAAAAAAATTTGATTTCTGTATTTTCCACTTTCAATAATAGAAAAAGAAAATAGTTTCGAAAAATTGTTCAATTTTATTTATTTTTATTTCTCTATTTTATTTTTTATTTTAATAAAAAAAATTTTTTATTCAACTTCAAAGATGAAATTAAAAGGACAATTCATTCAACAATAATGTAGCTTACAATGTAATTCACAAGCATCAATCGTATAATTTAGAGCAAAAATTTATTTTTTAATATTAGGCAAAATTAAGTCCAATTTTGCATTAGCCGTAAAAACTTTTTATTTCACTTTATTATAAACACGAATAAATTAAAACAGTTTATTTTTTAATAAATATTTTTAATTATCACTCGGCGGCATTTATTGTTTATTTTTATTTTAGTTATTTGCTATATGTAACTGCTCTTCATTTTTTTTATACTTGAATATATATTGAGATAATTGAACTGTTGATTGATTGTTGTGTTTATTATTATTATTTATTATTGTTAAAAAAGTCATTTTATTCCTTTATTATCATCAATTTTTAAAAACACAACTGAACATTATAAAGCACATGTAAAAAAATCTCTTAAGTTTCTTATGTGAAACTAATTAATTACTTATTAAGATTTAGGATATAATATAAATACTTGTTAATAAGATAAATTACTTAAGAATTTCATTTAATTTACGTCTTCTTACCTGAACAACATTGTAATAAAAATATATTGTGATAGAAGAGTTTTATTGTTATTTTTTTACCGTTCATTTTCTTTCACTTCCTTGTCCAAACATGTAAAAAAAATTATGTTTTCGGTGATTTTCTCTCTACCGCACTCTGTTCTAGCAAAAATTTAGTAATTTTATTGTTAAAAGTAAAAGTTACTATAAAGTTACTAAATTTTTAGGTTAGTTTCCATTGTCCCCACTCGCCATTTGTCATAATTCTCTGCTAACTACCGGTTAGTAAAGGTTGGTTTCTATTGTCCCCACTCGCTATTTGTCATAATTCTCGTCAACTACCGCACTCTACTCCAGTAAAAATTTAGTAACTTTTAATTTTAACAATAAAGTCATTAAATTTTTACTAGAGCAGGGTGCGGCAGTTGACGCGAATTATGACAAATAGCGAGTGGGGACAATGGAAACCAACTTTCACTAGAGCAGGGTGCGGTAGTTGACGAGAATTTTAACAAATGGCGAGTAGGGATAATGGAATAAACCAATCATGAGGCTTCATGACACAACTGCTCCAATTATTTCACGAATTATCGACCGGAAAGAAATTTATCCCAAAATCTGTCTCTGAATCCCGGACTATATCTTTTCATATAAAAATATAATCCATTCAGCTAAGACAAAATATTATTCAATCAGATCAGGTAAAAATAAAATATATTTTTTTGTATGCTTGAAATTTATTTATAATTTTTAAATTGTATGAATAGTAAATTTATAGTCATCAATAATAATTATAGCGCTGCTTTACATAGAACTATATATATATATGTTATGTCTCTGATTTCAAAAAAATATTTTTTTTATTTATATATATGTTTCCTATAGAATTAGCACAAATAACGAATAACTTGAACCCAATAAGGATATGTTTTTACTAAAGAAGAGAAACAATCAACCCATATTTAAGATATTTGTAAATAAAAAATGAATACAATGATACTAAAGAATAATAATAAAAATAATAATTTGAGTAAATAGTAAAAATTTTGTTTGTCACACCACATGGGGTGATTCGTCGTTTGTTAATTGTCTTCAGCCAAAGTATTGATTCTTGAATTAATCGCCAAAAGTTGTGCAGTAAAAGCAGTGTCTCGCATAACAGTCGCAAGTGCACCAAGAACATCTTCCAAATCCTTTTGCGACATACCCAATTGCCGTGCACATTCGCGTAAAACATCCTCCGACTCTCCCATTTCAGTCTGAGAAAATAAATCTCAATTAATTCGGAGGGGTAAACCAAATTATTAATTATTGTTGGTTTCCATTATCCCCACTTGCCATTTGTTATAATTCTCGTCAACTACCGCACCCTGCTCTAGTAACTTTTAATTTTAATAGTCACTAAATTTTCACTAGAGCAGGGTACGGTAGTTGGCGAGAATTATGACAAATGGCGAGTGGGGACAATGGAAACCAACCTTTTTGTTTCAAAAAGATTAGATATAGATACCTTCGTTCGATTGTAAAATTTATTAAACTGTAATTTAAATCTTTTTTTTCCTTCGTTGGTTTGATAAAAAACGGTAAAACTCTGCTCGTCAGGTGGGTCTAATGTAATTTTAAAATAAAATCCAGCCACAACGTGACCCTTGCTATCTCTAGCTATTAAACTTCTTAAGTTGTAAACTATGTTTCTTCGTTCGGTGACGTCAATGGCAGTAAGATATGGTCTATCGACGTAAATAAGAGCTACCTGAGTACGCTCTAAGGCACTTGGGCGTGTTTTTTTCTCGTGCCATTCGACGTAATAGGGATCCTCAGCGCACATTACGTAATTATATTCCGTTTTACATTCAGGCTCATCAGATTGTGTAAACCAGCCAGTGTGTGGATAAAGTTTATCCCCCATTACAGTGATAACACGAGCAATATGATAACCTGGATCGAGTAACATAACACCACGACGTCCATTTATCAAAATTTTTAAACACACAAGAACGTGCTCCTTTTCGCCACTGTCAGCCGCTGGAGGACCTCCCACATATCCCGAGATATCTCCAATCGTCTGTGAAAATTAATTTTTCAATTCAATTTTTTCTAATTTAGATTATATTCTTCATTTTGTTTCTAATTCATTCATCCATCTTTTCTACTTCATTCAACCTTGATCACTAATAGTCAGAATTAATTTCACTTTCACCTTCATTCATTTTTCTTCAGCATTTGGGTTGGTTTTCATTGTCCCCACTCGCCATTTAACATAATTCTCGTCAGCTACCGCACCTTGCTCTAGTGAAAATTCAGTGACTTCATTCTTAAAAATAAAAGTTACTACATTTTTACTAGAGCAAGGTGTGGTAGTTGGCAAGAATTATGACAAATGGCGAGTGGGGACAATGGAAACCAATCTGCCTCCAAATGTTATTGTCCCAAATTGTTTTAAAATCTGAATGTAAAAATTCTACAGCTTCTTCATTATTCCCATTACTCTCACAGGTGAGGAATTCCAATTCCTCGCCTGATTTTTCACAAGAGAAACATGAAATAAGGGTACGGTCACATTGTGGTTGGTTTCCATTGTCCTCATTCACCATTTATCATAATTCTTGTCAACTATCGCACCCTGCTCTAGTAAAAATTTAGTAACTTTTTCAAAAGTTATTAAATTTTTACTAGAGCAGAGTGCGGTAGTTGACGAGAATTATGATAATTGGCGAGTGGGGTCAATGGAAAGCAACCACTATCTCATGCATGCAGAAACATTTGGTCGTTTACACTTTGATGAAATGTAGTGACTGTTTAGTAACTGTTGTAATTTTTCAAAAATTTCGGTTGTAACTACAAAGTTACTAAACATTTATTGTATTTCATTGAAGTGTGAACGACCAAATGTTTCTGCATCCGGTAGGTTGCCATTGTCCCCACTCGCCATTTGTCATAATTCTCGTCAACTACCGCTCCCTGCTCTAGTGAAAATTTAATGACTTTATAGTAACTTTTAATTTTAACAATAAAGTCACTAAATTTTTACTAAAGCAGGGTGCGATAGTTGACGAGTATTATGACAAATGACGAGTGGGGACAATGGCAACTAACCTTCCATGCATAGTACATGCATGAGATATTGTGACCGTACTCTAATAGTTTTCCGTAAGAAACTGCATTTTGATTGGCTGACAGTTCGTAATATCAGAAATTATTCGGAGTAAAGGAAGATATTAAAACCAATATCTTAAATAACAAAATTCTTTCACTTCTTCCACCTCTTTGTCATTATCTTCCATATTTAGGAAAAATCAATGAAAAGAACCTACCTCTTCGCACGATACCAGATAGAGGCCATTTTCAATTCCAGGAAACTTCTCGTTTAATTTGCACAATCGATACAACAATTCAAAACCAAGGCCTACACATGTGTGATGTTGATGAGTGATAACCGGTTGATATTTACGATAGAAACGATCCAATAGAGTTTCACCACTCTCTTTAAAAGACTTGTAGAATCTACAAAATATATTATTATAATAGATTTAAAAAATTCAATAACAGATAATTTAATAATTCAAAATATGAAACAAAGGGAATGAATAATTATTTATCCAAAGAATTGTATTTTAAATAAAATTTTTATCAACCTTAAAACATTGTCCACTGTATCGTAGCGATTTTCCCGTAACAAACGTTGAGTTTCAAGTTCAACGCATCCTGCTAATTCCTCATATTGTTCAATGGTAGAGACATTCAACGTTGGAGATTCATAGTGTGCCCATACCGGTAATGGTAAAGGCACGTTTCTGATCCATGGCCCCCGGGCCTGTCCAGAAGGTTGATAGCAAACTTCCGTCGTCGTGAGTCAACTTGGCCATTCGCTTCCCCATCTTCCAACCGTTGGCACATAGCCATTCTCATCCCTGTAGCTGCTTATTGGCTCCACAGGGATCTCTGCGTATTGTCTATTCTTCTCTCGCTCTGTGAAATAAATCATTTTTCATTTATAATTCTTCATCCAGAGATGAAAGTCAAATACAATTGTCAGAAGAATAAATCTAGTGTGGATGGAATTTAAAAAAAAATTTGTAATATCTGACCAAAATTAATTCAAAACTTTTTTTTGAATACAAAATCTTCATTCCTCACAAAGTTATGAGTGGTTGGTTTTTGTCAGCGTTAAGGCCAGGTCCAAGTCGAGACAGCTGTTCCTTTGAAGTTTCAATAAAACAGCTGACACGACTTGGACCTGACCTTAAGGTCAATGTAGAATAGAAACGTAACCGGAATCGTAACTACAGACGCTACCGGAATAATGAGTTAGAGAAGGACAAACAATATGACTATCCTTCTCTAACTCATTCTTTCGGTTGCGTTTCTATTCTGCTCAGGCATTAACCAAAGTTCCCATCAGGGTTGCGCAGTTACGCGTAACTCGGAGTTTTTGACGTACTATACGTAAAAAAACGTATAAGATGTATGAAACTATACCAAAATGGCGAACGTGAAACATGAGTTAGAATAGAACATAGATATATTCGTATCCTTTTATATCTCATGCATCTCGTTCGCGAACCTATTGTGCGTTGGCCTAAAATCCCCACTCGCCAAAATCACCATTCGCCATTTGTCATAATTCTCGTCAACTACCGCACCCTGCTTTAGTGAAAATTTAGTGACTTTTAATTTTAATAAAGTCACTAAATTTTCACTAGAGCAGGGTGCGGTAGTTGACGAGAATTATGACAAATGGCGAATGGTGATTTTGGCGAGTGGGGACAATGGAATAATCAACCATTAACCATTTATCGTAATGAATTTTCAATTTCTTATGCGTAAATGAAAGTACAACATTTCAGGATATGTAACTGGTATTTTTTCGATTTTTTCCGTTTCTATCCGACTTGAGAGAAAAATCCTTTTTAAATTAAATGCACCTACGAGGAGCCAATTTTTGAAAGACAACCATTGCGGAACACCATTAACCTATTTTTTTCTATTTCAACACATTAATATTTTTTAACTGTCAAACCACTTTTTTTTATTAGTGAATAAAAAACAATGAGTGAATTGAAAAACAATAAAAAAAAGGAGGAGAAATTCCATAGAGCGATTTATCATTTGAGCGTCAAAAAATTGGAACAAAAACTGTATCCAAATGTTTAATTTGTTTGAAAATTTTACAAAATACTAGCTACGATCGTCTTCTGTTACATCGTTATAAACATTGTTGAATATCTTATACAATTTTTAATGAAACCATTTGCAAAAATTTGTGAATTTAATTTAATGTTTGTACAAAATATAACCTCAAATTTTTTGATATATTTCTATTTTGCGAAAAAAAATCCCCAATCTCTTTATAAACCTATCTCCCTCCTTAAATTAGGTTAGAAAATTCTTCTTAAAATTTTCATCTGACCTGTATAACTATACTTCGGATTATCATCCTACTCAAATCTCTCCCAATAATATCTATAACAAATATTCTCGCCTTATTTTAATCGATTCACAAGTTGAAAAAATAAAATTTATCGCGATTTTTTTCTAGATTTAAAAAATACAACGCAAAATATTCTACTAGAATTAGCTTCGTTTTCTTGTTTTTTTTTTTTAATCCAAAGGGAAAAATTAATTTATCAATTTCTATTATCGCTCTTTCCTTGACTTCAAAAGACGAGAATCATGTTTTTATAAATCAAAAATCTACTCGCCTACTTCTTATCAAGATAAAAATCCCCCGAGAAAGATTATGACAATAGATTATATAATTATTTACAATAACATTAATTGAAATGGAATTTCATATAAAAAAAAAAATTATATTTATATTTTGATACATATTAAACGATAAGAAAATCAAAAATTCACAACATATCTAAATGATTCATATATTTTAATTAAAATTTTTAAGTTTTTTTTTCTTTTTAAATAACCAATATTATTGCACAATTATTTATTGATTGTGAGAGATAATTTAAAGCTTTTCAATACCGGAAGGCTATAATATCACTTATTAGATAAATTTATCAGAAATTTTTACGTACAGATATACAACATTATAAATATATTTAATGATATAGTAATTGATTATATTATTTTAAATGCGTCGAGTGGAAATTTTTCCAGAAAATATTTACAATTTTTTATGACTTTATTGATCTATTTTGATAAAAAAAAATTCACATTGCGATAATAACATGGTTGCTAAAGCAAAACACAGATGTTTTTTGATAAGATTTTTTCCTTCAATTATAAATCATAAATCGAAAATTCTCCATTAATTTATATTTTGCGCATATGTTTTAGTTTTTTAATTTTTTATTTGGAAATTCTTATTTATACCTAATTCTTAAGTATAACCCAAATTTGTATCAGCAAAAATTTTTATTGAACCCAATTTATATTTAGCCTAATCTTCATTTAATCTAAATCTTATTGGACCTAATTATTTGCCCTAATTTTTATTCAACCTAATTCTTATTTAGACTATTCTTTATTTTACCTAATTCATATTTGGCCGAAAAACTCTATGCATAGCCTAATTCCTATGTGTCCTAATTTTCATTCAACCTAATTTGTATTTTCCCTCATTTTTATTTAATCTAATTCTTATTTGTCCTTAATTTTTTATCTGACCTAATTTTTATTAGGCCTAATTAATATTTAGCCTAATTAATAATTTTATCGTATAAAAAATTTGGTGAAATGCTACTTTTGGCATTCGTCTCCAATTGAAATTCTATTGAATAAGAATTATCTGCCATATAAAAACTTTCGGTTATTAAATTAGAATATATTTTTCTAAATAAAAATTGAGTTAAATAAAAATTTTGCCAAAAGAAAAATTCTATTAAATGGAAAATTGTTGACCTTGAGAATCTGCTATGGCAAAAATTCTGCTAAATATATTGAATTTAAGGCCAGGTCCAAGTGAGGCAGCGCCATCTACATTAAGGCCAGGTCCAAGTCGTGTCAGCTGTTCCATTGAAACTTCAAAGGAACAGCTGACTCGACTTGGATCTGGCCTTAAGAATTTCTATAAATAGAAATTCTGTCGAATTTACTAATTCGAAAAAATGAAAATTCAGCTAAAACATAATTATATCTAATTAAATTTTCTGTCAAATGCAAATTCAAACTTTATATATAATGAATTTAAGAAGATATATAAAAAATAAATTTTTTAATATTAATTAAATTTATTATATAAAATAAATTTTTTATATAATACATTTTTTATATAAAAAGTTATATAACATTTACTACTGTGTTTTTAAAATATTATTATTAAAGAAATTTTCATTATATAAACATGTACGGTAAGAAAAAAAAAATGAACGGTAAATTGAACGTACAATTATTGTTTTCATTCTTGAAATCCACGCAAGTGAAATTCGTGGAATGGGTCAATGATTCACTACTCAGAAATAGTCTATAAGTCACTACTATCTCGGTGTTCGTATGTTTGAGAATTTATCGATCACGTCACAAAGTGAATAAAATCATATATGTACCGTAGCTACGCATACAGTTATCATTTACGAACGATATATACATATATACATATATACATATATATATATATATATATATATATATATATATATATATATATATATATATATATATATATATATATATATATATATATATATATATATATATATATATATTAATTGCCACGTGGTTGTGCATATTCGACCTTTGAAATTATACTTCACATTATTGTTCCCATTGTGTAATATTATTGCGACTTAAAATTAATCAAAAATTATTGAATTATTAAAAAATAATATAAATATTAATAATAATATATCAAAGAGGGCTTATGAATTTCCCATTAAAAAAAATTAATGGTTGTAATTTTCATTTTAGAGAATTTTATTAGATTACAATTTTTCGAATTAACATTTTTTACTGAATTTCATTTTAAACGAATTTTTATATGAATAAATTTTTTTTTTGCCGAATTTTTGACTGAATTTTTATTTTACAAAATTTTTCTTTAACCAAATTTTTATTTAAAAACATTTTTTATTAAACCGAATATTAATTTAGCCGAATTCTCATATTCAATAGAATTTTAAGTGCGATTCAAATTTTTGAATGCCACATAGAATTTTTCAATTCATTTAATTTTTATTTGTTCGAATTTTTAATTTGCCGAATTTTCATTTGGACAAATTTTTTATATTTGACGAAATTCTTAAAACAGCGAATTTCCATTTGTCCAAAATATTGCAAATGTCTGAAAAAAAAAATAATGGACAAAAATTTTTAACCCACTTATAAATTATAAAGAAAATTGTGATTGATCAATTTTAAAATTGGCGCCGAAATATTTTTAACGGTTGTTTTTTCGTTTATTTGCAATATCGGACAAATGAAAATTCGATGATTTAAAAATTCTATCAAATAACAATTTGTGTAAATAAAAATTCGACTTTTCGAGTGAAAGGAAGTAGGAAAAATTGTTCGTTAACGTCTATATTTACAATAATGGACAAAACTCAATACTACGAGGAAAACATTAATGGCTTCTTCAAAAGGAAAAAAAATCCCCCAACGAAAAAAAATCGATTTCGTAGAAATAAAGAAAAAATTAGGTCAAACAAAAAACAGTTGAGGTTATGTTCAGTTTGAAAAAAAGAAAATTTTTTTTTTCAAATTTTGTAAATAATTTATACCTATTTTACCGAAAATATTTTAAAAAATTATAAAATATTCAATTAAATTATAAGTCTAAGAACCTTGAAAAATGTTAATTTCTTCAGGCTATACATAAATGAAAGGAAAAAGTAATTTGTATAAATGGAGCATTCCACGTCAAATTGAACAACAATTTTGCTTTTGCATTTCTAATTTCTTGAAACTATTTTCTTTTTTATTCCTGTTTGAAACAATCTTCAAGATTTTATTTCAAATTTTTTTTTTTTTTATAAAACGATTTAAGAGATTTTTGAAAAATGACTTTTTTTAAATGCTCAATATTCGGCCAACAATTGACCGAATTGAACGTTTTTTTACCTTTTTGTTTTTAAACGTACTTTTCATAAAAAAAATATTTGGAAATCTTTTTTTTACTCATTCGAAAATAAGTAAATCTGCTTATCACGTAATTATTTTCGAATTTTCAATATGTTCATGTTTATAGTTATTTGTGTATTAAAAATAAATAAGGGATAATTATAAACATGAAAATTAAAATTCGAAAATGAGTAGATTCCATTATTAGTAACGTACGTTTAAAAAAAAAATTTTTTTAAAACGACCAATTCGGTCAATTGTTGGCCGAATATTTAAAAAAAACGTAATTTTTCAAAAAAATCTCTCTTAAATCTATTTATAAAAAAAAAATTTTTTTTAAATCTTGAAAGCACTAAAAGAAAAAATAAATAGTTCAAAGAAATCCATTTAGTGTGGAATGCTCCATGAATAAATGTTTACTTGAATATGTATAGGGAATTATAAGACGTAATATGTAACAATATTAGGACATAAATATTGAGCAAAAAAAAAAAAAAAAATTAGAAAGGTAAAGCGCCGATTGATGTAAAAAATAAAAAATAGAAAGGTCGTGTATTTGAGGCAATGTTTAGGAATTTCCACCGACTTGTGATGACCTTCCTTTTACTGGCATGGATTAATTATAAGTATATCATGTTCCAAGTCATTAACGCGGGGAAAATACAAATTAACGTACATTTAATTATTTCATCAAACAAATCAATAATGATTTCAAGAACAAAACCTTGCATTCAAGGATAAATATTTTTGAGCACACTAAATTTTTCAAGACTTATTCATTTTGACGCCTTTAAAAATAAAAATTAATTTTAATCAAAATTAAAAATTTAATTAACTTAAATTAAAATTACAAAATTTTTTTTTTTTAAAAAAAAGCGTCAAAATGAAGAAGTTTTGAAAAAAATATTTTCTTTTTTTACCTATTTTCTGATAACACTCACAAATGACGTCACGAACTTTATCCACATTTTTTACCGCTACTCCCCTCCCCCATATTGTTACCGTAAAGTAAATACATTATTTAGTAAATACTTCCCCTCTTCTTTTCGGAGCGTGACGTTATTAATGACGATTATTATTATTTGTAATATATTAGAGTTAGAATAATATTATTATTATTTTTAACATTTTCTTTTATTATTTTATTTATAATTTTTAAATTATTTTTTTATATCGTAATAATTAGGAATTTTTAAAGAAAATTCAATATTTATAACGTGTATACCATATGCTGAATTTTTATTGATTTCTTAAAACCTTGTTTAGTAAATATTTAATTTTAGATATATTTTTCTTTCAATATAAAATATGTTTTTACTTATTTTTCTGTAAATAATTATTTATTTCTTGATTAGATAAATAATAATAATAATAATAATTTTTTTTAAGCGTCAAAATGAATATCTAAGTCTTAAAAGGAATAAAAATATTTTTTAAATAAATAATAATAAATTATCATTTATTTAAAATGTGATTTCTTATTAAATTTTTAGCTGATTTACTAAAAAAAATATTTAAATAATTTTAATAATTATGTAATATAAATAAATAAATAATAATAATAAATCAAAATATTTAAAATTATTAATTAATAAAAAATTTTACTCCGAAAATCTTTTTTAAATTTAACAATAACAATTTTTGGTATAAATAAAGTGTAAAAAATGTTTTTATGGAGTATTTAATTTATTTTTTTTTTTTTAATTTCTATCTCTGTATATTAAATAAATATAAAATATAATTTTAAAAAAATATTAAAAATTAGTTAAATTAAAATATTTTTAAATTTACAATAATCAATTATAAATAAAAAAATATTAAAGTATTAAAATTTTAAATATAATTATATTAATAAAATAAATTTTTTATTTAAATTTTTTTAAAATAAACAAAAAACAAAAATGTCCATTTTTTATTTATTCATATATATATAAATATATCAAGAATGAATAAAATAAAAATTCAATTGAAAAGAAATATATGTACAAAAAAAAAAGAATTTTGAAGAAAATATAATAAAAACAAAAATTTATTTTTAATAAACCTTATAAAAGTCATTGTTCAAAGAATTATTTACGTTGCTCATAATGTTGTAATGATAAAAAAAACACTTTTGTCATTACTGGAATTAGTAAACTTGGGGAAAATACCTACTTCAAAAAAAAAAAAAAAATATCCAACAATATGTTTTTCGAATTTTAATTTTTTTTTAATCATTATGCATATTGAAGAAAAATTAAAATATAATCTAATAAATTATTTTTAAAAAGTAATTTCTATAAATTTTATTATTTTCTATTTAAAAATACAATAAGAATAAAAATAAGAATAATAATTATAATATTAATAATTAGAATAATAATAATATTAAGGATTTAAATTAATTTTGGTCGTAAAAAATTGATGAGTTTTCAAAATATATAATATAAAATAAAAAATTGATTGATTTACTCACCCATACAACGAGCACACCAAACAAAGAAAAACTCTCGCTCTCGAAACGTGTATTAAAAAACACCCTCTTCACGTTACCAAAGTCCGCAGTGAACTGAAATTTAAAGATACGTCAGTGTATGTCTTAGATAAAAGTAAACAGCGTTATACTGTCCGATGTTGCCACGTCTTGCAATATATGAGAGTCAAAGTTCATTGGCATCCAGTGATGTCGGAGCAAGCGCCCTTAATGCGGTGCTGCTTTTTACACAATGTTTCTTTTTTTTTTTTTTGTTTTAAGTAGCGGGAAATCAAATTTTTCTCCAGAAAAAAAAAATTTCTATTTCAAAATTGATTATACCTAAAAAAAATAATTACTATTATTAAAATATAAAAAAAAACTATTATTACTATTAAATAAATACTTATTTATGTGTTTTTTTAAAATTTTTTATATTTTAATTAATTTTTTTCAGAAAGAAAATTTAAATATTTTTAAAAAATAAATTATAAATATTTCAATGTAATATAAAATATTTATTTAAGTAAAAACAATTTTATTTGTGTATATTATTAAAATTGACAATAATTATAATTATAATAATTAGAGCCTTTGAATGAATAATTGTAATTTTTTCTTTTAATTGTATTTACGGAATTTTCTGCAACAAAAAATTATTTACTTGATAATTTCTGATTGGATAATTTTAAAAATACGCGCTAAACAACACGTTCATTTGGACAAAAATTTAATTTGTCCAAATTACCAACAATTTATGCAAAAATAATGAAAATTAAAAAAATAAGAATATAGAAATTTGTGATATTTTAAATATTCGTCAAAGAAGTCAAAAAAAAAAAAATATGGAATTATTTTTTTTTTATTAAGTTATTCTATGGTTTCTTTTTTAATGGACAAAAAAAAAAATTCTTTCAATATTTATCCTTATAGAAAAATGTAAAACAAAATGTTTTTTCAAAATAATTTTATTAAAAATAATTTTTTTTAATTAGGTATATTTTTCACCATTAAAATGGACGAAATAATCAATAATAAGAAAAGGGAGCCAGTTTATTTTTTAATAAAAAAGTGTAAATAAATAAATAAAATAAAAATTGTTTTCGAAATGGAAAAAAGTGATAAAAATAATATTGATAAAAATTAATGAAATTTGTATATTTATGTCTATGAAAAACTAATATTCCGATTGATAAAAGCTTAAAAATGTGAACTGGACTTTTTCGGGCTAATTCCGGATTTGTCCGGAATATTAATCAGCAAAGTTTTACAATAATCTGATAAATGTGTAAATCAGTCTTAGAAATATAAATAAATTATCAATATTATTAATAACTAGGTATTTATTAATTTTTAAAGAAATTAATTTACTATTCGGTTTTTTAAAATTTAATTTAAATTATAGAATAAAATAAAATATATACACCGAATTACGAAAATTAGCGATTTTTAAATATTTCGATATTTCGTCGATTTCAAAAATTAAATTAAAATTTCAAAAATTAGAAAAGAAATTTAAAAAAAAACATTTCAAATGAAAATTAAAATGGTTATTTGGAAATAAATATATATTTTTCAAAAATAAAATTTTTGAAAACTTGTGTATTTTTTTATTTTATATTTTATTTATTTCTGAAATTTTAATTAATAATATTCATAATATGTATATAGCGATAATTATTTTTACAATTAAAAAATTAACGAAAACATAATATATATTAATTTATTAATATATTTAAAAAAAATGTATTAAGTTGAATTTACATTATTTCAACTTCGTCCAGTGTACGACTTTTTAAGTTAATATTTTCTCGCTCGTAAATCGAATAGAAAATAGAAAATTAAATTTATTTTACCTAATTTCCTTTGATTTGTTCAATTGAATAATTTATCAAAATTAATTTAAAAAATAAAATTAATTAGAAAATAAAAATTTACTTAAAATGAAATTTACCTTAAATCAATTCTAATCCCTTTTTTTGACAATGTAAAATTTACAATTCAAAGACAGTAAAATCGAGATTTTTTTGTAGAAATTAAAAATTTCAATTTTTATTGACATAGAAATATATTTTTTCAATCACCCTGAGAAAATGGCGAATTACGATCGCGTTTCGAGGTTTTTCCCTTGCCTCGAGATTTGGTATCTCTTTTTTTAGCTGAATTTGTCGATGATGTTGTTGTTGATGTTGAATCGGCAGGACTCGAATGACTCGAACCCTCTTGATCCCATCGTGTAAAATTCTCCCTTGAATGTTGACTCTCCTCATCATTTGTCTCAACAACATCAACATTAATACCATCTTGTCCCGTGGAATTATCTAAATTTGCTCTCATTTCACGTCGTTGATCATCCGTATGCTGTGGACAACGCACCGATCTTGTACATAATTTTTTTGTATGCTCCGATATAACACCACAAATTTGTGTTAATAACGTTTTTTTATCCTCAATTGACATATTCTCATAATTTGATGGTGAATTTTCATTACTTGTATAAACAACATCATTATTACTATCGCCATTTCTTTGTCCACTTTTTTGTTGTTTATATTTTTTAATTCCATTACGTTCTTTTTTATTATTACGTTTACGTTTATCATTATTCATACTCCAATCGACATCGTCCTCATCGTCACTTATAATACCGCTGAAATTACTTAAATCCTTTGTATTATTTGCAATACGACGTGATGCAATACGTGAACTATTGCGACCCATTCCCATACATTTTTCAAGATGTGTCGCAAATCTACATGCGGCAACACCACGATCACAATTTGGACAATTGCATTCTTGTGATTTTTTCACTGGATGCTGACCAAATACGTCCAAACCCGGTGAATCTATTGGAACAAAAAAAAGAGAAAGATAAAAATAAATTTTCAAGACTGTTTTCTGTAATTTAATAATAATAATAATAAACAAAAAATCAAAAAACAAGGCGACAATAAATAGTTTTAATAAAAGAAAATAAATAATTAATTATACATTTATTTTATTTACTATCCATGTCCTTAATTCGAGAATTTAAATAAAATTTAATTTTTTTTTCTTTGATTTTTTGAAAAAATCTTAATCCCTGATAGAATTTTCATTGAGTCGAATTTTATTTGTCCGAATTATTATTTTGTAGAATTTTTAATTTTCTATATTACAAAATTTTTATATAACCGAAAATTCATATTTATTTGTATATTATAATTAGAATATTTATTTTAAAGTATTTTATTAGAAATTAATTGTATTTAGAGATGAATTAAATTTAAAAAAATTTCAGCGCAATTTTTAAAACTGACCATTTACGATTTTTTTTTTAGATAATTTCGAATTGGTCAATTTTTAAAAATTGCGCCAAAATCTTTCTGTCGATTGTTAGTTCGAATCACATAAAATTTTATTGAATGAGAATTCTGTTTTAAATTAAAGTCATGTAAATTAAATGAAAATAAAAATTCTGGTAAAAATTCGGTAGGTAAAAATTTTGTTAAGTAAAAATTCCTATAAAAGAAAATTCTGTCAAATGCTAATTCGAAAAATGAAAATTTGTTTAAAAAATAATTATTTCTAATAAAATTCTTTAAAATGAAAATATTATTAATAATTATTTTTATGGGATAATCAAAAATTATTATGTTAAATTAAAAAATCAAGGCCTCGGATCGACTTTAAGGCACAAAAAAAGTCGTTTTAGTCGATTTATATTCCAAAAATGTCGAAAAAGTGGATTATTTTTATTTTATCAAAATTTAATTGGTTAATGAATATTAACTTTTACTTTAAATAACTAATGTTATTAGATATTAAATTCATTTTATTAATTCAGTAATGAGAATAATGTTATAAAAATAGTATCAAGAAAATTTATTTTGAATATTTCAGAATACAACTAATTGTAAGAGAAATTTTCAAAATTTTATTTACGTAGGACAAATTTCTAAAAAAAATTCTTAAAGTTCCATTTTTATAATTTTTTCAAGTCTGATTTAAATAATTTATTCGAATTAAAAATTTTGTCACAGTTTTTAGTTTTGATAGTCAAAAAAAATTTCAGGCAATAATTAAATTTTACACTAAAAATAATTTATAAAATAATTTTAGATAACATTTTTTAAAAGTAATTGAATTGTCAAAGATTTACAATTTTGATTTTTGAAATTAATTGAATTTCAAGTGATTTTGATTTGAAATTTTGGAAAATAATTTAATATTAATTGATTTTAATTTATAAATTTTAAAAATAATTGAATCTCAATTGAAATTTTGGAAAATAATTGAATTTTATTTGATTTTGAATTGAAATTTTGAAAAATATTTGAATATCAATTGATGTGGAATTAAAATTTTGGAAATTAATTGAATTTTAGTTGATTTTGATTTGAAATTTTGTAAAATAATTGAATTTTAGTTGATTTTGAATTGAAATTTTGAAAATAATTGAATTGCAGTTGATTTTGAATTGAAATTTTTGTAAATAATTGAATTTTAGTTGATTTTAAATTGAAAATTTTGAAAATAATTATCTAAAATTATTTGATAAATTATTTTTAGTTCTGTAAAATTTAATTATTGTTAAATTTTTTTTTTAGAAAAAAGTAACGTTCATATTTTTTTATAAATCTAAAATTTGTTAAATTCTTAAAAAAATTTTTTTTATAGCTGAATTTTAAAAATGAAAATTATGGGTTAATTTTAGGAAAAAAATTTGGGTTAAAAGGGGTTAAATATGAAAAATTTTTTAATTTTGATAAAATGGGATTAAAAAAAATATTACAATAATTATTTAAGTTTCAATTAAATACGAAACTAATAAAAATATAAACATAAATTGTTATATAAAATTAATTAAAAAATTTTATTCTTAAAAAAATATGAATTTTCTCCTAATAAATAAAATTATTACAAATTTGCAAATTTTAAAAAGTTAAATATAAATTACATACGAAAAAAAACGTAAAAATCATTTTTCTTTTAAAAATCTTTTAAAAATATAATTTAAAAAAATTTAAATAATAAATAAGAACAAAAATGTATAAATAAAATAGAAAAGAAATGAATTTTAGCGTTAAATAAATTAATTCTAACCTATAATGACGTAAGACTCATCATCGGGAATGCCTTCCTCAACATTGGAACTGCCACTTTTAATTGTTCGATGAACATCAAAAACAAAGCCCATTAATACTTCATCTAATAAATCTTCATAAAAATCAACAGTAACTGATTCGACATTTTCTTTTTTACTAATAAATTCCGAAAATCTATTATTTAATTCTTCAATTTTCTCCTCAGTGACAGACATTTTGTTTTATTTTTAAATTTTCATTAAAAATAAAACATTTCTTTAGTCAATATTGTCATTAATTTTTTCAATGACATTTTTATAATAATTTTCTCAATTTGATTGACAGATGTCAAAATTTTTTTTATGTGAATTTTTATATATATATATATATAAATATTTGTTTTTCTTTCCCTTTAATAACCAGAGATGGGTAGATAAAAGAAAAATTTTAGCCAATTTTTTTTTAAAGAGAAACCTCTGAAATGTGACAGTTTGTTAGGGTTACATTTTAAAGGTTTCTCTTGAATTTCTATTCATCCCTGGTCAAACTTGTTTGGCTGTTACCACCGCTGATAAAACAGCATGGAACAGCTGATTGGTTTTTGGATTTGTACTCCGTGTGTTATAAATGTGAAGTTTGGTCAATAGAAATCTCGTTAAAAAGTGTGTATATCAACTGTTCGCGTAAACTAAAATTGAATACACATTAAGATTCAATTATTGTCATTATATTATAATTTACGCATAAAAATTGCAATGTTAACGTAAAAATAGAGTTTAGTGACGTGAGAAAAATTTTCCCGTTCATAAAATGAAAAAGCAAAGTTTTCACAGTATCTCCCAGTATAGACAAAATCAATTATAATAGGGAAAAGGTAAAATTTTTCTTTTGTCCTATTAAAAAAGCATTATTATATTTTAATAATTCTAATGAAATTGAATTATCGACATTTCAAATAATTAAGCAAATGAGTCATTATAATACACAGTGACATTTTTTTTTTCAAAGAAATATTTTTTTTTTCAAAACTCCACATATACAGTTATTTGGAAGGATAAAATGATTGAATGCTAGACTGATTTTTATCATCTTTAAGGTAAGTTTTTTTTTAAAAAATAAATTGTATTTAAATTTTCTTATTAGTGAAATAGAAATAATTTATTGTTGAGAAATATTTATTTTTTAATTTATTTGTTTTATAATTTTATAAGGATCAATAAAAATCGTTGAAAATAAATCAAACATAACCTTAAAATCATTTTTTTTAATGGTTTTTCACTATTAAAATCAAAATTTTTGGGGATTTTTATTGATTTTCGTAATTAGCGTATCAAAATACACAAATAAACGTAGTATTAAAAAAAAATCAGAGGTATTTATAAAAAAAACAATTCAAACTTTCGTTAACTAAAAAATTTTGCACAAGATTTTTAAAATTGTAAAAAATGTAGAAAAAATCTTGTAAATTAATTTTTTGGTCATTTTTTGTATCAAATTTTCAAAAAGTTGATTTAAAAGCACAAAATTTCAGTAAAATATTTGGTTTTTTAATATAAATAAAAATTATTTGATACAATTTTATTTTATCGGTTCAACTTCAAATAAAGTAAATTATTCATTAATTCGAAATAATTTATTATTTAATGCTAATACCCATATTTAATTTATAAAAAATTTTACGGTGTCAAATATTAAATTATCGAATTTCTATTTAGCAAAATTGAATAAAGTGGATTTTATATTATGCAAAATTTTCAATTTACATTTAACTAAAATTCGATTTAAAAGAATTTCTATTTAGCAAAACTCTTATAAAGCATTTTTTCTAATACTTTTTTTAAAATTTTAAATTAATATAATTTCAATTTAACAAAATTTATGTCTAGAAAAATTGACAAAAAAAAAGAACTAAATAGAATTTTTCTTAAAAGAGAATTCTGTAAAATAAGAATTAGTTGGAATTGAAATTTTCTTTAATAAAAACTTTGTTAATTAAGAATTTTGTTAAATAGAAATTCTGTTAATTGTGAATTTATTCAATGACAATTCTGTTAAGTAAATATTTTGATAAATCGAAATTTACTAAAATAACAATTCTGTTAAAAAAAATTGTTCTTTATGCAATTTTTCTTGACATAAATTCCGTTAAATTAAAATTGTAATAATTTAAAATTCAATGTACTAGAAAATCTGCTTCATATAATTTTACTGAATAAAAATTTGATAATTTTTGATTTGACGCCGTAAAAATTCTTTTAAATTAAATGTTGAAAATATTTATACGTCTCCAATTACTTTATTTATTTCACTTAAATATTTTATTTTTTACGAAAAATTATTTATTGGGTTCAAATATATATGAAATTAATGGATAATAGACAGGTAAATGATTTAATTGTATCAAAATAAATTTTATTTGATAAAAATAAAAATTTTTTAGTGTAATTTAGGTCAGGGAAAAGTCAGGGAATTTTTTTTCTATCAGTTGTTAGACACCCTGATATACATCAGACTTGACAAATTTTTTTTTAAAAATAATTTTCATATTTCTTTTCTAATTTATAAAATTTTAAAAATTGAAAATTTATTTCAATTCAATTTTGAAATATTATCTAAATAAAATTACTCGTTAAATTCATATGCAATTATATTCTTATTAATGAATTATTGAAATTTATTTTTAATATCTATTTAACAATGATTAATGGGAAAATTTATTAATTAAAATTTTTAAAATCGATTTTTTTCTAATGTAAATATTGACTAAAATGAATTTTTTTTGCGCCTTAAAGTTGATTCGAAGCTTGTGAATTGTAAATTAGAAACGATTAAAATTTCATAGAATAAATGTTTTGACTAATAAAAATTAAGATTATTTGAAATTTTTATCTAATTGATTTTATCTAATTGATTTGTTTAACATGCCGCTCTCCTCTTTCAAACGATCAGTATTAAAATATATTATAGATATGAGATAGATTCTCAAACGAAAAGTTTGCAACAACTCCTATTTTCTTTCTTTTCTACGATTTTTTTATTTTTTTTGTCTTGTTTTTATTTTGTTTTCTTTGTTCTCCTTCGCTAAGAATTGGTTCAATTTAAATACACGATAACCAGATTCATCTATTTATATTTCATTTTTAGTTTGATTTTCTATCTAAATATACCTTTTTTCCACTTAATAGTTATTATAAATACATTTTTTAGGTTTTGTATTAGTTTTACAATTGTTATAATAGTTATAAGTACAATTGTAGCGCCCTTTGATGGTCTTTGACTGTGGGCTATGTTTTTTTTGCAAATAAAAAAAAAAAAAAAAAAAAAAATCTAATAATAAAATTTGAAAATAATTACAATTTTTAATAAATGTAAAAAGCATTATTATTCAGTTGAAAACTTAAAAAAAAATAATTAAAATGATGATATTATTTACTTCATGTCAGATTAAAATAAAATAAAAAAACAAAAAAATAAATATAATTTAAAAAATGTGAAAATTCGAAAAATAGAAAAAATAGGTACATTAAAAAGAAAAAATTGCGAAAATTTAACCTTCTGTAATCTCTGTTATATTTTTTTCTTTTTATTTGATAGTAAATTCCACCCATTATTACTTAAGAATTTTTAAAAGGCAATAAAGTTTCTATCTATATAAAATAAATATTGATATTGATGTTATATCTAAAATATCAAAGAAAAAAAAAATCCTATCCTCAAAAAAATTAAAGAAAAATGTCAGATAACAATTTATTTAATTTGGTCGCAAGTGTGTTAAAAAAAACTGGAAATCACAATTTTTAGAATAAACAGAGTTTTTATAAAGTTTGAGTCATTCTGTAAATTGGAACATGAAAAAGACAATAAAATTTTTAGTCAGGTTGTTATTGAAAGGTTCATATATTTTCTAGCAGTCAATAGAAGTGCTCTAAAAGTTCAACATTTTTTGTTATTTATTTATTTTTTTTTTTTTTTTAGTAGAACAATGTATAAAATAATTGTAAATAAATAAAAAAAAAATTGCCATAAATCGACGCAATTTTCAGTAGCAAAAATTTCAAATCTTCTTTACACAATTTCAAATAGTTTATATAAAAAAAAAAAAAAGGAAAAGTGAGGATCGCATAATATGGACTATTCCCAGATTGATTCGACAAAGATGTCAAAGAGGTTTTTGAAAAATTTCACTGATATTAAAAATAATAAATAAATAATAAATTTAAATATTTAAATCATCAATAATTCATTGATAATGAAAAGTTGTGGAAATTGTTAAAAATTTTAAAGATAAATTCAATTATTTGCTTTTTTTGTTTACTTTTTCATTATTTTTATTAATATTTTCAATTTTTGCAGATAATTTTATTTATATTTGATTGAATAATTTTATACATTTAATTTCAATTATTTGATTTAAAACTAAAAACTAATTTCAATTTTTTTAAAGAATTACCTAAATTAATTAATTTATTCAATATTTAATAATAATATTAATAATGAATTTATAATAATAATAATAATAGATTTAATTTAGTTTTAATAAAAAGGCGTTTTTCTTTTGTAAGCCCGTATAAAATGTTAAATAAATAAATAAATAATAATAATAAAATATTTAACTAAATAAAATTGATAAAAAGTAAAAAATATTGACTTTTGTTTATAACGTAAAGCGACTCTTTTTTGCGGTTTAAAGTTGATCCTAGATCTGAATTAGTAATAAGCAAACCACAAAAACCGTCGAGTAATAAATTTAAAGTGAAATTCGATCAATTTTTAAATTTGTTTTTCATTTTGAATTTTTTTTTAATACAAACTACAAAAGTTGAATTATTTTAAGGAAAAAAAAGGTTATTTTAATTTTTAACATTTGGAAAAATTTAATAAAAAATCACTAAAATAATTCAGAAAATATAAATTTCATCATTTTATAATTGTTTAGAATTGTCTTATTTTAAAAATAAATTATTATTATTATCATTATTTTAAATTTATAAATCCAAATAGATTTTTCCAAAAATAAAAATCACAATTTTTAAATTTTTGACTTTTTATATTTTTTGGAAAAGAAACGACATTAGTTTTTGAAAAGTTCTCAAGTTAAAATAACGGAATTTTATTATTATTTTTTTTTTTCAAAATAAAAATTTATTTATACAAAAAAATAAAAATGATAAAAAAAATTGATTTAAAAATAAAAAAAAAAATATTTTTTTCAAAACAGAATGTACGCCCTACAAATGCAAATAGCGTGCCAAGGAGAAGGCAATGGCGATACTGAAGATACGAGTAATAATCATCGTCAACCGGAGTCGTCACGCTCCACGGCACAAGACTGCAGTTCTTTCGATATTGTCAGAGCTACTCAGGTAATAAACAATAATAATTATCACTTGTCGATATAATTTTATCAAAATTTTTAAAATGTTCGAAATTCAAAAAGTTGGAATTAAAAAAAAATTGAATTTTTAAAAATTCGAATTATTAAAAGTTCGAATTAGCAAAGGATCTTTCTAAAAATACATATTACGAAAAAATCGAATTTTTATTTAATCAAATTATCAAAATGTTCGAATTATCAAAGGAACGAAATTTTTTCGATGACGATCTTTTGGTAAAACGAACTTTTTGAAAATTCAATCTTTTGTTATTTCGAACTTTTAATAATTCGAATTTCTAAAAATTCGGTCTTTTGTTAATTCTAATTTTTAGAAATTCGGTTTTTTTTTTTGCTAATAAAAAAAATTCAATTTTCTGATAATTCGAATTTTCAATAATTTGAATTTCTAAAAATTCAATCTTCTTGTAATTCCAAATTTCAGAAATTCAATTTTTTTTGATAATTCGAACTTTAAACAATTTAATATTTTGATTTCTCGAATTTCTAAAAATTCTGTCTTTTGGAAATTCGAATTTCGAACAGTTATTCGCATTCAAAAAAAAAAGAAACTGAAAAAAAGTGAATTTTTGTTTAAAAACCAATTTTTTTTCAGTACGGGGCTTTAGAACGAGTTACAGAATTAGTAGAAGCAGGTGCCGATGTAAATCAACCTGACTGTGAAACAGTCACATTATTACATTGGGCTGCAATAAATAATCGTAAAGAAATAGTCAAATACCTCATAGCCAAAGGTGCAACAGTCGATGTTATTGGTGGTGAACTTGCTTCAACCCCACTACATTGGGCTACCAGGTAGTTCTTTATTTAATTTTTAAAAATAATCGGAGATTATGAATTTCCCATAAAAAATAATTAAAACTAAAATTTTCACTTAAAAAAATTTTTTTTTTCTTAGAATTAAAATTAATTCTATTAATTATTAATTAAATAGAAATAGAATTAATTCTATTAATACTAAATTTTGATTTTTTTTAAATGAAAATTTTATTCAATGTTTCTTATGAGAAATTCATTCACCCCAAATAATCCCACTAATCTGGTAAATTATTTTTATTATTTTTTTTTTCTTTCGTTTCAATTGACTAGTTTTTGCTTTAAAGAGGATTAAATTTAAATTACAGGCAAGGCCATTTAGCAACAGTTGTTTTATTAATGAGAGCCGGAGCTGATCCATCATTAAGAGATTGTGAAGGTTCATCATGTATTCATTTGGCCGCACAATTTGGTCATACCGCCATAGTTGCTTATCTAGTCGCAAAAGGAGTAAATCCAAATATGCCAGATAGAAGTGCAATGACACCATTAATGTGGAGCGCTTATAAAATTAATAGGTAAATTATAAATTTCATTTTTTTTATTTCATTTTCATTTTTTTTTCGTTGAATAAAATTAGATTCATCTATATATATATATATATAAAAAAAAACATTAAGGAAATATGTGATGATAAAGTTGTTGTTGATTCAATGAGAAAGCTTTTGCAGCCTGGATCCAACACGTCTTCTTCTTACATTAGGAGCGTCACATTCACTTACTGATAATTTACATGGGAACACTGCTCTTCATTGGGCAATTATTGCAAAAAATAATACAGCGATATTAACATTAGTTCATAATGGAGCATCTTTAGATACTCCTAATTTTCAAAATGAAACGCCTATGACACTTTTGGGTCCTCATATTGGCGCTGCTTGGCTTGGACCTAAAGTAACACATGAAATTAAAGAGAAGCAAGGTCGTGTTAGAACTTGGTGTAGAGATAAGGTAATTTATAATTTTTATTTTATTAAAATTAAAAAATTAAAATTTCAAATATTTTCAACTAAAATTCTTATTCTAAATTAATTTATTTTCAATAATTTTAATGAAATTCTTCACCAAAAATTCAATTCAATTTGAACCTAATAATGAGGTATTTTAAATTATTTTTTAAATTAAAAATTTTATAAAATTAAAAAAAAAATGAGCAAATTTTCCAAAAAAAATTTTTATCACAAAATCACTTGAAATTTCATTTTCAAAAAATTTTCTTTTTAAAACTTTTTAAAATTGAATTATTTCAAAAAAAATTTCGACTAAAAAATAATAGGTAATATTTTTGAAAAAATTCTTTAAAATGAAAATTTTAATTTTTTTGAAAATTCATGCGTCCTATTATATTTATAATTTATATATTATAGATATTAATATTTTTTTTTTGTTTTTCAGAAAATGAGATGGTACTGCATGGTGGGCACGCCTTTCATTCTCTTCTATATTATCGGAATGATTTTTCAAAGTAGTCTTGATTATCTTTTAAAATTAGTTGCATTTGTTGCAATATATTTAGCAATTTATTCCGCCAATCATTTCGTTTTTGACGAAAGATTATTTGACGTTTTACCAATGTCGATTTATTTAGCAACCAAGGTAATTTCAAATTTTTATATTCAATTTTAAACTTGAATTTAAACATTTAAAATTAAGTATTATTATTATTATTATTATTATTATTATTATTATTATTATTATTATTAAAATTAGCTAAACAATGTTTATGCCAAGAATTAATTAAACATTTAATCAAGAAATAAATTTGACAAATATTTTATTTTGAGATAATATAATTGAATATAAAAAATTTTTTCAACGAAATAATTTCGTTATCTTTTGAAGTTTGTAAATTTTTTTTGAATGCTCCAAAAAAATTTTATTTATTTTTATAAATTCTATTATTATTATTATTATTATTATTTTAAAATAAATTTTTTTAAAAAATAATTCCATCATTTCTAAATACAAAATAAAAAGATTAACAATAAAAAGAAATATAAAAAAAAGAAGATAATAATAATTATTATTATTCTAGATATGGATTTACATAACTTGGGTATTTTGTTTGGGAGTACATGCCGCGTGGTATTTGTGGCTTATGCTTGTTGGTGGCTCGGTACCACTTTGGATTTGCTTTTTACAATCGTGGCGTGGTGATCCGGGAAAAATTACAGCCACACATGAAGATAAATTAAATGTAAGTATTGAATGACAATTATATTTAATGAATATTCTAAAAATCATTAGTTAAAATATTCATTTTATTGAATTTCATTTGTCATAATTATTTTTGAGACAAATTTTTTATTTGTTCGAATTATTATTTGATATAATTTCCATATAATCTAATTTTCATACTACAAAATTTTTACTTTACCAAAAAATACAAAATTTTTACTTAACCAAAAAAAATCGAACAAATAAAAATTCTGTGATGTCAATTTTTGGTTATATAAAAATTTTGTAATATAGAAATTCGTTTTGATGAAAATTCTGCAAAATACTAATTCGGACAAATAAAAATTCGGCTCAAAAATAATTATGACAAATGAAATTCCATAAAATGAAAATTCTAACTAATGCTTTTTAGAACATATTCATAATTTAAGAAAATTAATAACGAAAAAAAATGTGATTTTGCTTTAAAGACAATAATAGAATTAGCCGAAGCTGGAGGTTTTGAACCACAATGGTTCTGCAGTACCTGCTTAGTCAGAAGACCAATACGCTCGAAACATTGTGCAACATGTGATATTTGTGTCGCAAGATATGATCATCATTGTCCCTGGGTCAATAATTGTATTGGTGAGAAACAATTTTCATTTATTTACAATTATTTATTTCAAAGAATCTCCCTTGGTCAAAAAAAAATTGGAATTTTTCCAAAATTAGAACATTTTTTTTGGTTAAATATTTAACTAAACAAAAAAAAATTCGGCTTAATTAAAATTAAAAAATGAAAATTTAAAATTTTAATTTTTCCAAATTAAAATTTGATAAAATGCAAAAATTAAGCTAAACAAAATTTCCAATATATAAGAGTAATTTGGCTAAATTCAAATTTGGTTAAATACAAATTTTTCCTAAATAAATTTTTAACAATTGGAATTTTTGTTTGTAAAATATTTAGCCAAACGAAACATTTGGCTAAATAAAAACTTTTAATAAAAAATTCGATTAAATAGAAAATTTAGCCAAATAAAAAACCAAAAAATGTACATTTATTTAGCAAAATTTTCCATTTGATTAAATTAAAATTTAGCTAAATAAATTTAATAAAGTGAAAAAAAATAATTAAAATATTTGCCAAAAAAAAAATTCGAATAAATATTTAAATTCGGCTAAATGAAAAATTGGTTGAATTTAAATTTAGCTAAATTAAAATAATGAAATGGAAAATTTTAAGTAAAATCTTTTGCTAAATACAAAATTTTTAATATTTAAATTCGGCTAAAAGGAAATTTTTCCAAATTAACATTTTGTTAAATAAAACTTCAATTAAATAGAAAACTTAGCCAAATAAAAAATTTGGAAAAAAAAATTCGTCACAGTTTCATAAACTATTGATAATTGTGTACTTATTTAAAATTTTGAAAAAAAATAAAATGTTTTTGATATTGATACTGTTTAATTGAAATAAAATAATTTATCAGGTGCACACAATCATAAATATTTTTTGGGATTCCTGACGTCGCTACTAGGACTTTGCATTGTGATTTTGTCCGCGAGTTTTCAATACTGGCAATTTGAATGTTGGACCAATTTGACGCATGGTCACACGGCAGATAATTATTTAGTCGCTGCCGCAACATGTGACGCTTGGGTCATGTGGGTTATGATAAACACAGCGCTTCATTCATTTTGGGTTGGAACACTTTTAGCTTGCCAGTGTTATCAGGTATGTAATTTATAATATATATTTTTTTTATAAATAATATTTTAATATTTCTTTTTTTTTCGTTCTTTAATTAATATAACATTTTCAATTTTTATTATTAAAAAAAAAAAAAAAAAAAATGCTTTTTCGATTTGAAAAAATAAACTGAGGGTTCAATCAAAACATCATAATGTCATTAAAAATTAAAATTTAATTTTCAAAAAAGAAATTCTATTTTTTTATATATATTTTTTTAATACTTTATTTTCCGACTCTAAATTTTTTAGAATTTAAAAAAGAAAAAAATTCCTACTCCTTAAAAAATAGAAACAAATAAAAATTACAATTTTTTGTTTTTTTTGGTACAAATTTTGTAAATTTAAATGTATTATTAAATTATCAGATAATGATATTGGGCATGACGACGAACGAGAGAATAAATGTAGGCCGTTATCGTCATTTTGATAAGGGAAATCCATTTCATCGTGGCGCCCTTCAAAATGCAGCAGATTTTTGCAATTGTAGCTTCTGCGGCCTAGAAGCAAAGCCAAGTTCCGATTGGCTACACAGTTTCGATTTGAATAGCGTTGAAAAATTACCTCTGCTAACCAATAAGGACAACTTTCAGTACGTCTAAAAGTTAAAAAAAAACCAAAATGTATAATAATAATAAAAAAAAAGAAAACAAAAACAACAGCGGAGAAATTGTTACCAAAAATTATCGTATTATAATAATAATAATAATATTGTATACTAGTTTAAGTATTCCGAAATAACGACGCACCATATCATTCAATCTGTTGCTCTTTTGCCAGTAACAATAACAAAAACAAAAAATTATGAAATTTTTTTCTTCTCCAAAAAAAAGAAGAAAACTTGTGAAAATTTCCACGATTTTCTAATATATTTTTTTTTTTTTTGCATTTTTGATGTCGAAAAAAAAAATTTTAATCTTCTCGCAATATTCCCTCAGAAAAAATTCTAATCAAATAGGAAAAATTTTTTTTGGTTAAATATTTAGCTGAAAAATTCGGCTAAATGGCAATTTGTATTTAAACGTTTGCTATTCGAATTTTGCTAATTTGATTAAAATGGAAAATTTAGCCAAATAAAAATGTAATTTTATACATTGATTTGGCTTAATGAGAATGTGGTTTAATTCAAATTTAGTTCAATAAATTTATGCGGGTTAAAATTTATTCCAAACAAAAATTTCGGCCAAATATTACAAAATTTGTCGAAATGAAAAATTTGTAATTAAAATTTTGCTAAATAAAAATTCGATTCAATAAAATTAAAATAATTAAAATTTAGCCAAATGAAAATTTGTATATATATATATAAATTAACTCGGGATTAATTCAAATGTGATTAAATATAAATTTAGCTAAATAAATTTTCGATCAACTGAAAAAAAATTAAGGGAATATAAATTCAAATTTATAGAATTAATTTTGGCTAAATGAAAATTTGATTTAATTTAAATTTAATTTACTAAATAAATTTAAATGAACGGAAAATTTTGGTACAATATTTAGCCAAAAAAAATGTCTATAAAAAAAATTTTGATTAAATTCAAAATGTAACAAAAATTCCAAAAATTGGAAAATATTACTTAGGCTAAATGAAAATGTGATTGAATTCAAATTATGGTTAAATAATAATTTTGATCGACTAAATAATTTAGCGAAATAACATTTTTAAATAGTATTAATTGTAGCTAATAATAAAAATTTTTGTATTTCAATTAAATTTAAGTAAAATAAAAATTAGAGTAAATTTATAAAATCTATCTTTTAAAAAAATACGATTAATTTCTAAAATTAAGTAAAAGAAAAATTTTGCTTAATAAATTTTAGATTTACATCATTTTGATTAACTTAAAAATTCGGATTTTAGTGTTAAAAAAAAATAAATAAATAAATCCGAATTTTGTACATATAAATATTTTTTTCAGGGGGAATATTTGTGTGTACCAAAATTAAATTTCAACAATTTCTTTTTTTAAAGCAATTTTCTAAATGAATCTCTTTTCTTAAATATTAAATTTGACTTTCAATTTACAGATTTTTCTGGAAAATTTTCACTTATCTCGAAAAAGAAAAAAAAACAAAAAAATTTCACTTTAAAATCTCGCGCGTGGAATAAAAAGACTCAAAAACATATATTAATTGATTTTGAAAGAAAAACTTAACGGCGATTACTTCAAAAAAAAAAACGAAAAAAAAGAAAAAAAAAATTTTACAGTTACTTGAGATTAGTGTTTTTGATTTTTAATTTTTTCTCTCTATGATGTAATTCTGTATTTCTCAATGTTTTTATAAATATATATACTCTTTCAATGAAAGAGAAAAATGTTCAGAGATTATACATATATATATATATATATATATATATATATATATATATATATATATATATAAATATATATAATCCTTTTTAATTTCTCTTTCTCTCTCTTTCTCTCTAGATTATTAAAAGAAAGAAGAAAGAACATTTTACTAAGTCATTTAGAAGTTAAAATTTTTTTAAAAACAATTCTTTACTTGTATAATTAAAAATAATAATATAATATTAATAATAATAATTAATCTTGAGAATGTGCTTTCAACATTCTTCGTGTGTTGTTCAAAAAATAATAAAGAAAGAAAGAAATTTAAAAAATGAAATGAAAGACAAGGATAAGAAATGAAAAAAAAACTTTGTATTTTGTATTGAAATCGTTGACACAGTCGATTTTTCGATGATAATAAGAAAATAATAATAATTATAATAATCGTTAAACTTCTCTATATTTTTCAGTGTGTTTTCGTAAAAATTGCAATAACAGAAAAAAATTTATTCTGCAAAATGATGGAGAAAAAAAATCAATAAGTGTCACAAATAATAATGATAATGAAAATAATTGTCACGCTAAAAAAAATGTTACTTGGCTTATTGCGATATTTTTGCAGATTTTTTACTAAGAAAACAAAAAGTTAAAAAAATAGCGTTGGTCGTTGATATATTATTGTGGTGCCATAAAAAAATTGTATACATTCCAAAAAAAAACTATATTCAACTCTCTTTTTATTGTTATATCGATTGAAAAAAAACCTGACGACACAATTTCATAAAGTTTTATATTCTCGATATTAAAAACAAAACGAAAAAAATTTCTTTCTTTAAATTCATTTTTTTTCATAATTTTTCACTAGAACTCAAAATTTGTCTTCTTTTTCTACTATATGAAAAAAAATTCAATTAAAAAAAACCAAATCAAAAATGTTAAAGTCGACGATATATTAAACTCCAATTGCTTTTATTGCAATTTTTAAATAATATTAACTAATTTGAATATAAAAAAGTACGTATTTTTTTAATTTAGTTCAAATTTTTGGACATTTACTTTTTATTTCGAATTTCTAAATATTATATATTAAAATTCTATACTATGACAGAACTTTAATTATATTTCTTAAAATTAGGAGAAAAAAAATTCCAAAATTTAGAAATTGAAATTAAACTAAGTAACCGAAAAGTAAAAATTTAAAAATATTTAACACTTTATTCTTTGGTACAAAAAAAAATTATTTAAATTTAAAATTAAAAAAATTTAAATTTAAATCTAAATTTTACAAATAAAATTTATAATTATATAGGAAATTGTTTTGTCAGGAAAAGCGTGCTTTCTCATATATATAAGGTGCTTTAAAAAATCGACGAAAAAAAAATTGTAGAAAAAATGAAATTAGCATCAATTTTGTAGTATGATATAAGTGATTTTCAAATTAATAGAAAATTTTGTTAATTTTTTTTTTTTTTTGATTCATGCGAAAATATCTTTTTTTTTTGTACAGTCGCTGCTCAAGTATAGAAAAAAAAATAATTATAGTAGCGTTGTCGGAATTTTCTAATTTTTTAAAAAAAATTTCAATATTATCATACAATTTCAAAATGAAATTCCTTGAAGAAAATTAAGAAATATTTTCGACGCATGAATATAAAATAATCTAGAAAAATAATATTTACAATATATACATATATAAATATAATTATGTATCTTTATTAATTAATTTTTTTTTTTTGTTTGTCAAAATCTAAAAATTAGATTGTAGACAATGCTCTCTAGAAAAAAATTATCAATATTAAGATGATATAATTAAAAAATTTTTGTTTTTTGTACAAAAATGTTTTATATTAAAATTTTTTCTATCTATATGTCAATTATTAAATCAATTGTATTTAATTGATAATAATCGTATTTGAATAAAAAAAAAATTGAAAAAATTGTGTTAAAATTAAAGTTGTAATTTTACAAATTTCTTCAGCTAAAATTATTATTAATTATTAAACGAAGAGAATTTCGACTTCGCATTGTAGAAATATGAAAAGAAAATATGAGAAAAAAAAAGAAGAAACTTTTAGAAAAAGCATCGAGTTTTGCAACGAACAGTATTTCATGACTGAATTATTACTTCTTTTTTTCTTTTTTTTTACTCAATTTCGAGTGTGAAATTTTTTTTTCCTTTTTGCAAAATTTATTTTATATTTTCAATTTAATTTTTTAAGTTTTAAGAAATTATTATAATATAACTATAATTTTACTAGTGATATTTTTTTTTCTTCAAAAAAAAAATTGTTTCATTAAATTTTTTTTTACAAAAATATTTTTCCCAATGTAAAAATTTATTTTTTTTACATTAAAAAAATTGTTGATTGATTTTTTACAAAATGCTTTTCGCAAGAATTGTAATTAAAATTTTTTTTTTTAATATAAAAAATTGCATTTTCTTTTTTTAAATAAAAGCTAAAAATAATTTTTATATTTTTTTTTCCTACGGAAATAGATTTAATTTCACAAAAAATGTGCAAGAACGAAAGAAATAATTTATTTTAAATAAAAGCTTTTTGTATTTTTTTCCTATAGAGAAATATTTTTTATTTCACCAAAAAAAAAAAATTTCAAAAAATGGAAGAAATAAATTGTCGGATGCTTAAAAAAAATAAAATAAAATTTCTATTAATTTAAAATATTTATTTAGTGAGAATTTATTAATTCTAAACTATAAAAATTTATAATTCATCGATTTTTATTATTTTGTGTACATATATATATATATATATATATATATATATATATATATATATATATATATATATATAATCATTATTTTTATTTGCGTGTGTTTTATATTGTTTATTCATTTTTTTATTATTATTATTATTAATAATAATATATCAATATTGTGACTGTTGTTCCTAAAATATTATGTCATCGGCTTCCGAATGAAAAAAAAATAAAAAAGACTCACAATTTGAGAAATGTTCAAAAAAGTGATAAGAATGAAAATACGGACTAGCGTTTTTCGAGTGCTTCGTTCAAAATAAAAAAAATTGTAAACAGCGAAAAAAAAGACGATTCGTTGAAAAAAACGACGCTAGTCCGAACTCTAGTGTAATGTAATTAAAAAAAACTAGAAAAGAGAAAAAAAATTCTTATTTCTTGTAAAATTTCTTTTTGAGAGTGAAAGACACGATCTTCTACTTATAGTAAATAAAAAGAAAAAACATAAACTGGAACCTTGAAATAACAAATTTTGTCAAAAAATAAAAAAAAATTTCAATTAGAAAAATTATTATTATTATAATTAGAAAATAATAATTATTATAATTATTAAAATTATTTAAAATTAGTAATTATTTTATTTAAAATTTTCCAATATTAAAAAAATTATTTTCTATTTATGGACAAATTTTCCAATTTGGGGAAAAAATAATTTTCAATTTATTGAAAGAAGTTTATCAATAAAAATTTTAATTATTCAATAATTATTTATTATAATAATTTCAATAAATAAATAAATAATTATAATTATTTAGGTTTTTTTACATGGCCTTAAATTATTTATCGTTTAAGGCGATGTAAAAAAAATACCTAAATAAAAACAATAAACGAGTGTAAAAAATTATTAATATTAATTATTATTATTATATTATTTCCGTATATAAAATAATAAACACATTTTTAAATTGTTATTTCAGGGTTTCATATGGCAAATCGAAGTTGTTCAAAATATATTTGAACTTTATAAATTATAATTATTATTATATGACAGGAGCAGTTTGAAAAAAACGTTTGTTAATCACGACAGCAAAAAAAAAATTTTTTGCTTAACGTGTGTGTATGTATGTATGTATGTATGGGTGTGTATGTGTGTTTGAAAAGAGTCAATCTTTTTTTAAAAAAAGAGCGAAGAAAATTTCCATATTTACTTTTTTTTTTTTTTTTTTTTTTTTTTTGGAAAACTTCGCAAGTTGTGTTTTTGTGTGCGGGAAAAATTCATTCTAAATAAATTGTATCGAATGAATATTTATGAAAGAAATTCATTCTTATGAACTTTATTATTATAATATTTGTTATTTACATAAATATAAACAATTTAGAGAAGTTTGAGAATTTTTCATTATTTTTTTTTAATTTAAAAATTTTTTTTTCAATTGTCAATAATTTTGTACTTTTTAAATAAGAAAAGAAAGAAAAAATTTTTTATTTTGAAAGCATTTTCTTTTAATTAAAAAATAGGAATAGAAAATGTTGAAAAAAATTTCTTTTCTTTATATAAAATAGAAATAAAAAATTTTCATTTTGGTAATTTTGCTCGATTGAAAAAAAAAATTTTTTTAAATTTGTCCTTTATTTTTATTATAGTGATTATATTCAGAGTATAGAATTTTTTGACAGTTCAATTATGTGTTCTTGTTGTTTTTTCTGTTTCATTTTTTCAATTCAAAACATATAAATATAATAATATTTAATGGGCGAAGATAAGGAATGCCCTTGCACGGATTCATCAGTGTCCTCTAATTTATCAGTGTCATCAATTTCGGAAAATGGAAGTGACAATTTTAAAAATAAAAATGAAATTCCAATATCAAAATGTGAGAGATTAAAAACAAACAAAATAATTTTAATTTTTAAATAAATTTTTTTTAAAATTTATAACAAAGAAAATTAATTTTTCCATTCTATGAAAAATGAGTGATAAATTTAACAATTTTTCGCAGACAATGATTGTAATCAATTTCCTGAAAATCAATTTATTTCCACCTCCTGCCAACCAGAAATTTCCAATCTCATGAAAAATGAGGAAAAATTTTGTATTTGTCAAACTTTTGGAACGTAAGAAATTATTATTATTATTATATATTTGTATATAAATGAAAAAAAATTTTTTAATCCTCCAAATTTATATATTTTTCAAGGGCTGGAAACAGAATTCCAGTAAATTATAAATCAGGTATATTAATTTTCATTTTTTTAATTATTTTAAGCTTAAAAAAATATTTACTATTTTAGTTTTTTTCTAATTTGTTAAAATTATGTCCAAAATTATTTAATACTGAAAAAATAAATTTTTAATCAATTATTAATCTTAAAAATGTATAACAAAGTATATTTATTGTTATTATTATTATTATTTTTATTATATAAACAAATTATTTTCAATTTTTTTCATTTTTAAAATAATTAATATTTTAAATAAAATTATTAAAAAAAAATTATATATTATTAAGTAAAAAAAAATTTTCCTTTCAAACTATTACTACAGCAATGACAAAAAAAAATAATAATAAATATTCTGTTGTTGTTAAAATTAAAAAGTATTGTGGCGCATTATTTTTTTTTTGATTTTATTTTGTTTAAAATATTATTTAACAAGAAAATGTAAATTTTGGGAATTTTTTAAGATAATTCGCCAGCTTGTAAGCGAGTCAATTTAAAATGGCCTAAATCAAGATATTTTAGAAAGAAAAATAAAACTTATGAAGTAAAATTGAAAAAGAAACGTTGTCAACATTATCCCAAGGTTTTTTTTTTGAAAGTATTTAAAGGACAGTTTAATTTTTTTTTAAACCCGTTTATTATTGTAAATAAATAAATAAACAAATATTTATTTATATTAATTTTGTAGCCATATATGTTTTGTGAATTATCTGAAGGAATACCACAAAAGAAATCACAAGAAGTGGAAAATTCAAGTGAAAATAAAATACATCAAACAGTGCAAAAACCAACGGAAAAAATTGATATTTATTATTTTGATCATGGAAATTCAGCGTATGTTTTTTTTTGAATAATTTAAACAAATTATTACTAATAATTTTTCATTATGTGTTTAATAATTAAAAATCAATTTAAATTATGTTTATTGAATTTTTTTTTCCTCCCTCTTTAATTTTCAGATATTTTCAAACAACAGATTCACCACCAATATTGGCAACGGAAAAATGTGCGGACAAAACGGAAAATGCAGCAACACGTTTTTGGGCTGAAATTTTTGCAGTTGCACACATTGGTTGTGCATTTTTTACTGCATTTATCCTTCAATTTATACGCTTTATTCTTCACAGTACAATACGGCCATTGACAGTGGGAATATTGCAAATGTTTGCCGATTATTTTATTAAACCAATGCTGTCAATATTATTTAATGCCTTGATACAGCCATTTTTGATATTTTTTTACAATATAACGACGTCAATAAAAGATTTGTGCGAACCAATTGCTGAAGCGATAGGATTTTTTTTGAGGGAGGCTGCCAATTTTTTACGAGCATTTAGAATTGTTGAAATAAATCAAAATGTTGAGAAAGGTGACAAAACTGAAATAACTGCTTGTACGTGAATTTTGGAAAAAAATTTATTTCACTGACGAATTTATTATATGCAAATTAGAAAAAAAAATTTCTAATCAAGATTTGTAAGTGTTTATTTTAAATTATTATTATTATTATTATTTAATTTAATAATTGTTTATAATTTTTAAACAAATTAGGAAACAAAATTAACAACAAATTTTAATTCAAAATCACTTGAAATTTAATTATTAGTTGTAAAAATTTCAATAATTTTTAACGATTTTTATAATATTATTCGAAAATTCATTTACATATCTAAAAGCATTTTTCAATTAAAAACTTTCGAAATTCAATTTTTGTATGTAATTTATAATTAATTTTAATTATATTTAATTCTTCATTAATATAAATCACTAAAAATTTCATTTTATTATAATTATTGTCTGAAATTTAACACAATCTTTTAAAATTCAATTATTTTCAAAAATTTCAATTCAAAATCAAATAAAATTCAAATATTTTCAAAAATTTCAACTGAAATTCAACTATTTTTAAAATTTTCAATTTAAATATCAACTAAATTCAATTATTTTCAAAAATTTCAATTCAAATTCTATTGTTTTCGAATTTTTCAATTTAAAAGCTTCTAAAATTTAATTATTTCTAAAATTCTCCATCTAAAATTTTTTTAAAATTTGATAATTTCAACTAAAATACAATTATTTTTAATGATTTTTAAAATATTTTTCAAAAATTCAACTATCTAAAACTATTATTCACTTAAAATGTTTTCAAATTATTGTATTTTTGTCTGCAATTTCTAATAAATTTTTTATGAATAGAAATTATCAAAAATTTAAAATTCAAAATCACTTAAAGTTCAATTAATTTCAAAAATCTTAATTTGTAAATAATTCGAAAATTCAATTACATTTTAAAAAAAGTTAAAATTATTTGATAAATTATTTTTAGTTCTGTAAAATTTAATTATTGTCTAAAAATTAACAAAATCTATTGAAATTCAATTATTTCTAAAAATTTCAACTTTAACTCTTCCAAAATTATTATTAAAAAAAATTTAAAAGAAAAAACTTTTTTTTTAATATCTGTAAAACTTGATTAAGTATTGCCTGAAATTTTTTTTGATCATAAAAACTAAAAACTGTGACAAAAATTTTTAATTCAAATAAATTGCTTAAATCAGACTTAAAAAAATTATAAAAATGGAATTTTAAGAATTTTTTTTTATAAATTTGTCCTAAGTAAAATTTTGAAAATTTGTCTTAGTTCGATTCTAAAATATTCGAAATAAATTTTCTCAATAATATTTTTATAGAATTATTCTCATTACTGAATTAATAAAATGAATTTAATATCTAATAACATTAGTTATTTAAAGTAAAAGTAAATATTCATTAACCAATTAAATTTTATTAGAACAAAAAAAAATCGACTCTTTCAACAAATTGAATATTTGAAAAAATTTTTTTTCGGAAGTTTCTTTTTGTAAATAATTTTCCTTTCAAATTCCCTTTAGTCTTTATTAACAACCAGGTATATATTTGGTTTAGTTTTAACTTTACAATATTAATAATTATTATTTCATTATTTTTTTCTCTTTTATACAGAACAAATTTGACTCTTTCTTTCTCACATCATTCACAACAAAACATGCATACTTTTTTATTTCTACTCTCACAAAATCATTTAGTAACATTATTGACAATAATCATTCTGATTTATTCTTTCGCTTCTTTTTCTTTCTCTCTTTTTTCATCTTCCTGTTTTTCTCTCTCTCTCTCTCTCTCTCTCTTTCTCTTTCATTTAATAAATTTAATAAATTATGTACAATTTCACAAACAACAAACGAAGGAACCTAATTACATTGTAAAGTTCACACTTTGCTATATTTACAGGTATATTGCTAAATTTTTTTTTTCTCTCTCTCTCTCTCTTTCAATCTCTTTTTTTCTTCAATAATAATTCACGCGTTCTTTTTTACAGGATCACGCTCCAAGCATTAAGCGCGTAAATTTAATTTTTCAAAAGTTTTACTTTTTTGTATTTCGAACAAATGAAAAAAAAAAGAAAAAAAATTCATTACTAGTAGCATCACTTAGTCTCAGGAACTGCAACCTATGGTGTTGGAATTATCTATTAGGTGGTCGTGGCCGGTGTTGATGTTTCCTGAAGGGCCGTTGTTTGTGAAGGCGCTGATGATGAATCACCTAAAAGTTTCAAGTACAAAATTTACTTTATTTTCTCATCAATTTCTTTTCATTTTTTTTGTTTAGTTTGATATTAATATATTTAACACATTTTCGGTTTCGTTCACCTCTGAACGAGAAAGTTTGAAATTTTTTTTTTATTTGTTATTCACATAGATAGGAAGGGAGTTAAATTTTTCAATTTATTGTTTATTAATATTATTAATTATATATGAGCCGCCGGAAAGTAAAAGGGCGCATAAAGTTTGTACGGCCGTTTGAGTTGGCCGGCTGTACAAATTTTATGCGCCCTTTTACTTTCCGGCGGCTTATATAATATAATTTAGTATGATTATTTATTCCGAAAACTTCAAAAATTAACACTACATAATAATGAAAAAATAAAGATAAATAATAAATAAATAAAGAATAATAAATAAGTTAGGAAAGTGTTAATTATAATTTAAATGATGAAATTATCAATTAATTCTACTTTTTTAAAAAATAAATTCAAGTAAAAATTAAAAAAAATAAATAAAAGAGTAGATAAAAAATAAAATTTATAAAAAAAATAAAAAAAATTTCCCATACCGGGAATCGAACCCGAGCCTCCTGGGTGAAAGCCAGGTATCCTAGCCACTAGACCATATGGGACTTGGGAGTTGAATTTTTTTAGCCAATAAAATTGAAGCATTTTAAAAAGATGTCAATTTAAAAAAAAATTAATTATTTCAACAAAAAAAATTGTTTAAAAAATTAAAATACACTAAAAAAAATTATTAACACATCTAGATATTTTTCTAAAGATCTAAAATTGAAGAAAATATCAAAAGAAATAATTCAAAAATTATAAAATCAGTTTGTAAACATTTTGTAAATGTTAAATTATTCGTTTATTTTCATCTCTTATAATATTTCTTGGACGTTAAAAATTATATAAAAAATTATAAAATCATTTATAAGATAATTAAATTATTAAAGAACAAAATTCAGCAATTTTTTTTTTAATTTTTCCATAAATAATAAAAGACCACTCAGAACGCCCAAACTCCCATTACCTTCTGCACAAACTGCAGAAGACGAACGATCCTCGAGTACTAGAAAGATCGATGAAAAAATCGATCTCGCCAGCAGCCTCTCACGCTCAGAGAGAAGAGCTACTGCTCATCATCGTGGCTGCATCGACTCCACTTTTGGGTAGAGAGGACGTGAAGATATACTACAGAAATGATCCTGTGAAGTATGATCTTGTCTTTTCGTTGTTTCGCCACGACTACTTATACTATTCTCTCCGCATCTCGCTTGTGAGAGAGATTCAGACGTGCCTCCTGTTAAGCGCCACTCGAACTATCGTCACACACTTTACTTCCCCGCCCTTCAAATGTAACGAATTTATTCCCCTAATTTTCACATATTCTTTTTAAATAATTCTCGAATAAAATAATTTTTTTTTCAATTTTTATCCATATTATTTTTTAAAAATCAATTGGCTTTAAAATTTAATGATTTGCAAATTTTTTCAATTCTAAAGAAATATGTTTTATGTAGTCAATAATTTTCATATTTAATTATTTTCCTTTTTATTGTTCGATTTTCTAAAAAAAATCCAGTATTGCAATTTTGACAGGAAAATAGCAGAACTAATTAAATAAAATCATTCAAAATCGATTTTTTAAAATATTTCTTATTTAAAAAATTATATTTTGCAAAAAAAAAATTAAATTTTTATATAAATTCAATATCAAATAATTAATTAAGCAAACAATAATTAAATGTAAAAAAGATTTGAAATTTCTAACATAATTGAAATTTTAAGGTAAATAATTGAAATTTAACAGAATAATACTTTTTTCAATATCCACAAAATTTGTCAATAATATTAAATTTTTTTTAATAATTTTTTTTTTCATTGACTAAAAAATGGACATTAATTTTAGATTTTATTAAAAATTTTCATTGAATTTGGCAGAAAATTAAAAAAAAATTAATATTTTAATTGTTATAATATTATTTTATAATTTAATTATTTTTAAAAATATCTAAAATATTTTTTTAATTAATAAAAATTTGTTCAAGTCGAAAAAAAATTTTTCTTTAAATCCAAGAATTTTTTTTTCTTTGTTATAGTAATGTACAAATCTTTTTTATTCAATAAAATTGTTTTCTAGCTGAATGTATTTTTAGAAAAAATTGATTTTTTTTTTTTATTACCAATGTATAAAATTTTTATACAACTTGAAACGTCTTGAATAAAACAAATACAGCTTTACTTCGTAAAAGTTGACGTGATATCTGTCTTCTATTGTGAGATAGAAAGATATATAACTCAAGGGACAAAAGTTATCCTCAATTTAATATTATGTATGACATTTGAAAATCCACATTTTTTCTTTTATTGCCATAAACATAAAATATTAAAAATTAGGTTTTAAAATTTTTTTTAAAAAATTCAAAAAATAGTTTTTATTTAATAATTTTAAAAATTATTATTATTACCGATTGAAATTAAAGTTTAACATAAAAAAAATTCAATTTCTTGAAATTAATTTCTTCTTTCTATAAAAATTTTTTATTTTTTTTCAAAAATAAAATATTTAAAAAAAACAAAATATTAGTATTTCTTCATCACAAAATTGCAAAACATTTTTGAAAATTGAAAAAACCTTTAAAAAAAATTGAATATATTTAAATTTATTTCTTCCGTTTTTGGAAAAGAATATTTTTAAAAATATTTTTAATAAATTAAAAAAGAAATAAATTTCATGAAAGAGAATTTGGTACAAATAAAAAAATATATTATTAATAGTTACAAAATATAAAAAAATTAAAATGATAATTGTGTTAGTTACGAAAATCAGACAAATTCAATTTCAATTTAACTCTTTTCGGTTTTTGTGGTAATGTAAATTTCCTTCTTTATTCATTATTCAACTGCGTTAATGATTCCACATCAAATTTACAGTTTACTATTGTAAATTCGGTTAAATATAATTTTCTCTAATTCTATATGAAGAGAATTTATCGATTTTTGGATTAATTTGGAAAAAAAATCTTGACAGTATCGAAAGTTATATACATATTATAAATTAACAATTTAAATATTAATTTTTTTTTTAATTTTTTGCAAAATATAATTTTTTAAATAAGAAATATTTAAAAAAATCGATTTTGAATGATTTTATTTAATTAATTTTGCTATTTTCCTGTTAAAAATGCAATACTGGATTTTTTTTTTTAGAAAATCGAACAATAAAAAGGAAAATAATGAAATTTAGAAAATAGTAAAATATGAAAATTATTGAGTACATAAAACATATTTCTTTAGAATTGAAAAAATTTGCAAATCATTAAATTTTAAAGCCAATTGATTTTTAAAAAATAATATGGATAAAAATTGAAAAAAAATTTATTTTATTCGAGAATTATTTAAAAAGAATATGTGAAAATTAGGGGAATAAATTCGTTACATTTGAAGGGCGGGGAAGTAAAGTGTGTGACGATAGTTCGAGTGGCGCTTAACAGGAGGCACGTCTGAATCTCTCTCACAAGCGAGATGCGGAGAGAATAGTATAAGTAGTCGTGGCGAAACAACGAAAAGACAAGATCATACTTCACAGGATCATTTCTGTAGTATATCTTCACGTCCTCTCTACCCAAAAGTGGAGTCGATGCAGCCACGATGATGAGCAGTAGCTCTTCTCTCTGAGCGTGAGAGGCTGCTGGCGAGATCGATTTTTTCATCGATCTTTCTAGTACTCGAGGATCGTTCGTCTTCTGCAGTTTGTGCAGAAGGTAATGGGAGTTTGGGCGTTCTGAGTGGTCTTTTATTATTTATAGAAAAATTAAAAAAAAAATTGCCGAATTTTATTCTTTAATAATTTAATTATCTTATAAGAATGATTTTATAATTTTTAACGTTCGAGAAATATTATTAGAGGTGAAAATGAACGAATTTTTTTAATAAACGAATAATTGAACATTTTCAAAATGTTTACAAACTTACTTTGAAAAGTGAAAATAAGTTTTTAATATTTGATTTTTTAAAATATTATTAATAAATGATTTGAGTTTGAAATCGAATTTTAAATTTTAGTGTTAATTACAAAAAAATTGAATTTAAATTAATTTTTATTTTTATTTGAAAATTTTTAATATTTCAAAATTTTATATTTGAGTAATCGAGTTTTCATTTAATAGAATTTTAATCTAACTGTACAGTTTTAATATTTTATTTTTATATTTTATTGTTTTCTTTATTATTTTATTATTAATGTTATTTATTCTGTTTTAATATTTTATTATTATTTTTAATCTTTTTTTTTATTATTATTTGTATTATTTTTTTATTATTATTTTTACTATTTTTTTAATCATTTTTTTGATATTTTATTTTATACCTCATGGAACATTTTTTTTTTACAATTTTCTCTATGTAATAAATTTTTTTGTAGATATTAAAAACTTTGAGAAAAGTTTGAGAAAAATTTTTTTTTTTAAATTTATTTAAAAAGAAATTTTTTTTTAGGTATTAAATTATTTTTCCTTAATCTTGATTCTTTTAAAATTATTTCTATAAAGTATTTATAATTTTTTTTTCTTAATAATAATCAGTAACGATTTTAGTCGAAATATTAATGTAATAATGACTGGTTTTTGAAAAAAAATAAATAAATAAATAAATTTGTAGCTTCCATATTTTTCAGATGAAACGTACCTAAAAGGGCAGCTTCTAAGTCACCGAGGATTTCCGTTTCCTTCGGATCGATGAGGCTAAAGCGTTGATTTAGGAGAGTGAGATGGGCAAAAACACAATTGAGATGTACGTGTAGCCCAAGTAACGCCACCTCTCGAAAGTGGCAGTGGTAAATGTGTGCCATCACGTGATAAAGTAGCCGCAGGATCTTACGTACTATCGACTCAAACGAGCTGGGAAATTCATTCGCTAAAAAATAGTATAGAAAAATTAACATTTAAAAAATTTTTTTTTTATTTTGTATACACAATATTTCTCTTTAACTGTAATCAAAAAAAGAAACAGTCGAAAACAAAATTCATAATAAAAAAATCAGCTTTACTAATTTTTAAAGAAATAAAAAACTATCACAAAATCTAAATAGAATATTAAAATAAATAATAATAACAATAAAAAAATAAATAAATTATTTATTTAATAAATAAATAAAATAAAATTGATTAAATAAATAAATTACAAAAATATCAAATTTTACCTCAAAAATAGAAAAAATAAATTACGAATAAATAAATAAATAAAAATATTATATTTACAAGTGTAATATAATTAGATAATCTCTTTCAATGAGAAAAATGACATAAAACATGAAGTAAATTTCCAAATAGAAATAATTATGCAATTATTTTTAAGCTATTGTAAAATTTTTAAATAAATTTTTTAATGACAAGAAAAAAAAGTATAATTTAATTTTAAAAAATAAGATAAATAAGTATTTTTTTTATATAACAAAATAATGTGATAATAATTATAGAACTTACCGTATTTGGTAGGAAATATTGTTTCGTCACTGACGGTGCGTTGGGTAAAAGTCATCACATAGTCAATGTATTGTGGCGCAGCCACTCTAGTCTTTTTCCCTTTCTCGTCAAACCATAAATAAGTTCTGTGAAGAAAAAAATTTTTTTTACCAAAATATCCCAGTAAAATTAAGAAACAAAATATTAAAAAAAAAAATTTTGTAGAATTTAGAAAATAGAAAATCTTTAATTAAAATTTAAATAAAATAAAAATGAAAAAAAATTTTTTAAATTAAAATTTTAAATTATTAAAAAAAATAAATATAATGAAATGAAAATGAATGAATGAATAAAATGAAATGAATAAAAATGAAAGAAAGAAATAATAACAAAAAAATAAATAATACAAAAATAAATATTTACATTGTTTATAATAAATAAATTTGAAAAAACAAGATTAAAAAAAAAAAAATTTCCCACACCGGGAATCGAACCCGGGCCTCCTGGGTGAGAGCCAGGTATCCTAACCACTAGACAATATGGGATATAGTAAGAAAATTTCTAATGCCACTGAAAAGGTAATATTACAAAAAGACGCCAATATAAAGAAAATAAATTAATTATTAAGTGAAAAATTGTCAAGAAAAATGAAATTTTGACTAAAAATATTTAATTATAAAATATCTCCAGACACTACAATGCAATATTAAGCAAATTTTTAATGAAAAAATGATTTTTAAAATTATTTTCTATTTATTTATAAATTATGGAATTTATAAAGTTTTGTAAAAACAAATTTAATAATATTATTTAAAATTATTTTAATAAGTATAAATTTAATTAGTTTCTCTTTTTACTTTTTAAATTATTATTATACTAAATTTTATTTTTATTAAATATTCATAAATATTAAATTTATGAAACTATTTTAAATATTTAATTATTTATTATTTATTAAATAATAAATTAAATTAAATATTAAAAAATTGTTTTTTTTATTAAATTTTTGGAAACTTTTCTTTGTTTTTTTCGGTTCTTTATTTTTTATTTAATTTTGTTTTTTCAGTTTTTTTTCTGGTTTTCTTATTTTTTTTTGTTTGTTGTTTTTTCAAACAAAAAACTTTAAGATTAAATCTAGATTTTAAATCTAAGATAAATAAATAAAATTTTATTAAAAAAAAATTGCTAAAAATGTGTTTAACATAAATTTTGAAAGATTTAATTGTACAATTTTCAAAAAAAGAAATAATTTTAAACTAAAATTTTTTTTATAAATAATAATTATTAAACTTTTTCTTTTTTTTGTACAGAGTAAACAATTAGAATTTTTATTCGCAATTTTTAATCAAAAAAAGCTCATTCTGCTCTTTGAAAAGTATAATATTACATTTTGTTTTGTTGGATTTTGTTAACAAAATAATTTTTTGCTCAAAAGTTATTAAACAAACAAAAAATTTTGTTTGTTGTCTTTTAAAATAAATAAAATTATTTTACAAAAATTTTCAAACACAATATTGTAGAGAATATTTTTCAAAGAGCAAAATGAAAAAATTGTTTTAAAAAATTGAATAAAAATTATACAATATTATTAACACTAACTTAAAAAAATACATAGAAACCAAATATTCAACAATTAGGTAGGTATTATTTGAAAATAATAATTTTTAATTAATTTTTTTCAAATGAAATTTAAAGATATATTTTTTCAATTAAAAATTCCTATCAAATAAAATAAAAAAATAAAAAATATAAAAAAATTCTCATGTAAAATACACATTCGGACAAATAAAAAATTATCGTTTTAAAAATTCTATTAAATACAATAAAAAATTATCAAAAATTTAAGCAAAATAGGGACGTATGATTATGATTATTATCATTAGTTAGAATTTTCATTTTATGGAATTTCATTTGTTATAATTATTTTTAAGCTAAATTTTTATTTATTCGTATTAGTATTTTGCATAATTTTCATCAAAACGATTTTCTATTTAACAGAATTTTTATATAACCAAAAATTTACTTCATAGAATTTTTATTTAGCAGAAAATTTTTATTTGTCAGAATTGTTATATGCTCGAATTTTTATTTAACATAATAGACATTTTAAAAAATTTTTATCAAAAATAGAATAGAAATAGAATATAATATATATATAATATATATAATATATATATATATATATATATATATATATATATATATATATAATATATATAAGCTACGCTCTGAAATTTTTGATACTGCTTGAGAAATAACAAAACATTGTTTCGCACTGTCATTTTTCTTATGTTCTTTTTTTTATATACTTTAGTACTCTTGTACGAAAGGGCATTGCCCGTATATATATGTAAATAAATAAATAAATAAATAAATTAATGCATAGAATTTTTATTTTATTCTTTCAGAAGAATTTTCATTTGTTCGAATTATTATTTGATATAATTTCCATATAACCGATTTTTCATACTACAAAATTTTTACTTAACCGAAAAATCATTTAACAGAATTTCTAATTGAGAGAATTTTCTTTTTTCCGATATTACAAATGTCCGAAACAACAATCGATTTTGACGCGATTTTTAAAATCAACCAATCAAAAATTAACCCATAAAATTTTGATTGGTTGATTTTAAAAATCGCGTTAAAATCGATTGTTGTTTCGCCGATTTGCAATTTCGGGCAAATGAAAATTCTATCAATTAGATTTTCTGTTAAAATTATTTTTCGGTTAAGTAAAAATTCTGTAGAATGAAAAATTGGTTATATAGAAATTCAATCAAATAATAATTGGAACAAATGTAAAATTCATTTGAAAGAATAAAATGAAAATTCTATGGAATGAAATTCTACCAAATAAAATTTGTTTAAAATGCCTATTATGTTAAATGAAAATTCGAGAAAATAAAGGTTCTGACAAATAAAAATTCAAACAAAAACAAAAATTCTGTGAAGTGAATTTTCGGTTATATAAAAATTCTGTAGGTAATATAGAAAATCGTTTTTGATTAAAATTCAGCAAAATACTAATTCGAAGAAATAAAAATTCGTCTCAAAAATAATTATGACAAATGAAATTCCATAAAATAAAAATTCTAAGTAATGATATTTAGAATACAATCATGCGTCTCGCAAAATAAAAATTCTGACAAAATGAAAATTCGGTGTATTAGACATTTTTAGAATTGTCAAATTCTAATATGACTTAAAATTCTTTTGGTATAAAAAAAAATAATAAAAAATTAAATAAATAAAAAAAAATGTTGTTGAAATAAGAAAAATACCTTAATCCAGGACCCGTCATGTCAGGACATCCGGTCATGGTGCAAAATTCGGATATAGTGCCATAAATGAGGTTGATGTGATCGAAAAGTGCTAATGTGTGTGAGGCTAGCCATTCGTTATAATCTATCCCTGGAGGCAGGTCAACCAGTACTTTTAAGTCGAGTTCCGGAAGTTGCCTTTCAAGGACGGCTTCTTCCAAATATAATTTTGGATCTTCAGTAGTTCCCGCATCCTTATCCTTTCGTCTGGCTTTTCTAAAAAAAAAATATAAAAATATATAAGAATACTTTTATTCCCTTATATATGTTAGTTCAGTTTTTATTTTATAATCATAACTATAATTCAATTTTAGTTATTAATGATTTTTTTTTCATATTAAGGCGATTCAACTCTTTGACATAACCTCAAACTAAAAATTGGTACATCAATAATAAATAATACAAAAATTAATTCATAAGAAAAATTGGATAATTTTAAAAAAGAAAGCTGCAGTTGGTTTTTTTGTTTATACGGAATAGCTACGTGATTACTAATCTGAGGTCAGTTTTAAAAAATTCAACATGGCGGATCCAATATGGCGGCTAAAAAAATTTGAAAAACGTGTATATTTGCTTGAAACTACTTTCTTGGGGGTTTTCGGGGTCGCTGATTACGAATTTGAGGTCAATATTTTCAAAATTCAAAATGGCAGACCCAATATGGGGTTGGAAAATTTAAAAAATGTTCAGATTTGCTTTAAACTTGTTTCTTAGGGGGGTTTTTGAGGTCACAAAATGTTAAATAATAATAATAATACCTAATAATAATAATAATAATAATAATAATAATAATAATAATAATAATAATAATAATAATAATAATAATAATAATAGTAACAGTAATATAATAATAAAATAATAATACAACTGAACTTTTAAAAATTGGATAAAAATTAAGTTTAACTGTTAGTTTATTTGTTTTTAAAAAACAACTTTTTAATTTGAGGTTATGTGAATAGATTGAAATTTCATAATATTTGAATATAAAACAAAAAAAAAACATTCAAATTTCTCTTAATGAGGGTAATTTGAAAAGTTAAGTTTTTTTTCTTAATTTTTGGTATTAAATCACTGTTGCTAATTATTAATTTTTATAACATTTTAAAATAAATTAAAATTATTGAATTATTAACCGTCGATTATAGTCAACCCTATAGAGTGGATTAATTAAAAACTTAAAAAAAGAAATTAAAAATTAATTTAAAATAACAATAATAATCAATAATTCCAACTTTAAACATTTTTCCAATATTTTCAATACTTCATTTTTTTATTTTAAACTTTTGCAATATATATTCAGACATTTATGCCCCGTTATGTTTCTAAATAAATAAATAAAAAAAAAATTTCCATACTAAGTTAGAATATAAATAAAATTCTTTAATTACCCGCAATTAAAGATTGCTCTCAGTGTCAAATCATGCAATGCTACGCATTTTTTGTACATTTTTCGATGTTTTTTTTTTGAGCAGAATAGTCTTTGTTGATGATCCGTGTGTTTCGTAAATATACATTATAGTATTTTACTTTTTTAAAAAAGGAATTTTTTTTCTCTAAAAATTTTTGTATTTTGTTAAATATAAAATTGATTTTTTAATATTTATTTATTTATGAAATAAATTATTTATTATTAAAAAAAATTATTAATTGCATTTTTTTTGGCGCTAATAAGCGTGTGCGTAAAGCTGAATGAAATGACACGTGATAAGCATATATAATAAATATAAATAAAGCTTCATTTTCAATAATTTTTTTTTAATTATAAAAAAGAATTTTTTTTTTCAAAACTACGGTTAACAAAGTGCTTTTTAATAAATATGTCACTTAGAGTGGTTATATTTTTACACATATATATATAACAATAGTATGATTTAAGACAGAGACAATAATATATTTTTGTGATTTAAATGAATAATGAAACTGTGCGATTAATCTAAACAAATTTTAATTTTTTCTTTTATTGCCATATTGGATCCGCCATTTTGAATTTTGAAAAACTGACCTCAGATTCGTAATCAGCGATTTTGAAAACCCCCGAGTAACAGGTTTTAAAGCATTTCAAACTATTTTTAATTTTTTTATTGCCATATTGAATCCGCCATTTTGAATTTTGAAAAACTGACCTCAAATTCTTAATTAGCGACTCTGAAAACCCCCGAGTAACAAGTTTTAACCAAATCGAAACAATTTTTAAACGTTCAACCGCCATTTTGAATTTTTAAAAACTAACCCCATATTCGCAATCAGCGACCTTGAAAACCCCCGTGTAACAGTTTTCAAAGAATCTCAAACTATTTTTAAATTTTTGGCCGACATTTTGGATCCGCCATTTTTAATTTTGAAAAACTGACATTAGATTCGTAATCAGCGACCCCAAAAATCCAAAGGTGACAAGTTTTAAACGAATCTGATAAATTTTCTGAAAATTCATAAATATATCTTTCTTCAGGTTTTTATTTTACGTAAAAAATTAATTAAAAAAAAACCACTTTAAGTTTTCAATTTGCAAACTAAAAACGATTTGCGCTCTTTAAAATGAAATGTAATGTAAACTAAAAAGTTAAGGAGTTTTAAATGTATGTGTGCTATCTATAGACAATGTCTTTGGCAGAGACATGGGATTTATCGTGTTTTTATACATATAATAAATTGTGTGGTTTATATATATATATAAGGTTTTATTCGTATTCTATCTCTAGAAAGAGATCTCAGATTTATGGCCCATAAACTTAACGTATTTTATGACAGATTTTCACATAGTGGACTGCAAAACTTTATTTAGGATCCTCATCCATTACAATATACACTAAAACGTCAATCGAGAACAGACGAATGTGCAGTGCTGTTCTCGATTGACGCGATTTTTATCGCTCGAAAATAAAAACACTCAGGGCCGTATGAAGGGCCTTACGCAACAATGTGAATTCTATCTAGGGGATTTTCACTAGTGGGGCACTGAATCCACCTTAAATTTAAAAATCACAAGTACGACTTTGACGTCAGTCATAACCTAAATTCTACCCGCTTCCCCACTTCCCTTCAAGTGTTCCCTTGCTCTGTTCTCGACTGACGTGTTCTCGATTGACGTTCTAGTGTATAGATAATTTTGCGTGCAATCTGATTTTAAATTCCTCTACATTTTGTCATTAATGGCATTTACAGATTCTCCTAAAAATAAATAAAATTGCTCTAATCTTACGTAATTGATGATAAAAGAAGTAAAAACCATACTTATTGATCTAAAATTCCAATTGGTTGCATTAATTTTTGTTTTTTTCTATTATGTATACTACCACAGTATTTAAACCTCTTCATCCTGATTAGTTTTTTTTAAAATATTTAACTAAAACTCTTGATTATTTCTTTACTACGAAAATATTTCCTATAGGATAATAAAATACTTTGAAAAATGTTTGGTTACAACGTCTTTTGGAAAGACGTCTTCAAAGCTTGGGTCTTAGAACTACAGATACTAAAGTGTCAGTATATATTTTAGTATCTGTAACTCTAAACCCCAAGCAAAAAGGATTTGGGTGTTTACCATGTCTTACTTTAACAATTGTTTCGGAAATAGTTAGAAATTTCTTTAGTCATCAATCCGTTGTGGCAAATTCTACAATTCTATAATCTAATAACCAAGCATAATCCAAAGTCTCCGAAAGACGAAAGTTGTCACCTAAATCAAAATCCGTTGTACCTGCCCTTGTATTAGCTTAAAAAACGTCAAACTACTGAGAGATTCGTTCTTCTCCAGAAGTCCAGAATGGACCAGAATCCCCGTTATACTGATTAACTTATTAATTTTGGTTCAACAAATGCTTGATCCCCAACTATTTTGTCTAATTCTAGGAAATGCTGAACAGTGGCACAAGGTGTTAACCGACGATTCTTTATTCGATCCACAAATTCTGCACTTTAGTGAAATTTATCTAACTATTTTGTGCTTCTGAATCTAAATTTTGATCCACTAAATCCTGGAGCAGCAAATATTTTGTGCTGATGATAATTGAGAAAGCCACGACCCATGAAGAAATGAACCACTGTCTTAATTCTAAATCTAAATTCTTATCTACTAAATTCTGGAGCAACGCCTATTTTGTGCTGATGATAATTAAGAAAGCCACGACCCATGAGGAAGTGAACCATGGTTTTCATTCTTAATCTAGATTTTCATCCTTTAAATTCTGGAGCAGCAACTATTTTGTGCTGATGTTAGTTGAGAAAGCTACCAATGAAGAAATGAACCACTGTTTTAATTCTGAATCTAATCTAATCTAAATTCTGATCCACTAAATTTTGGGGATTTAGATAATCATCTGTACGGTCAAGATATGTAGAGGTTCCTCAACTAAAATGAAACCCAATGCTGCTGTAGTTGTGTTGATTTCTCTAAAAATCATTGCTTTGACTCCTGGAGTTGATCTACGTGATAATTTAGCTCCTAGTACCCTTTGGAATCATCAGTAAACTATGTAACCTATTTTTCTTTTTTGGAAATTTAAACCTCCCTTCCATCCACTGTTTCATAAATTTCTACGAACCCCAAAGGCAGTACAATTGTATTAATATCCAAAGTGCATTTTCCAATTTAACCTGTAATTGTATTTGTATGGACCCCTTTCTATAAACCCCAAAGGCCAATATTGATATCCGAAATACTCCAATTTAGCTTTCCAATTTTCTATTAGCATTCCTTAAAATACTGGTTTTTTTTAAGTTCGGATGTATTCTGCTTCTACCTCTAAGTAGCATAGTTTCGGTCCGATTAGTGATTCCAGTACACAAAACATCAATTCCGTTCGGATTTGGAATTAAGTCGACAGGGCCAAAAACGGATTCCCAATGCAGAACCCATTGGGAGTCATTAGGATGAATCCTCCTCCTCCGAATCTCAAGGATTCGCAAACACTCGGTTCCGAACATTAGAGCAAAAAGCCAAAACATTCTCGCCAAAAAATTAGTCAATGAGGTAATCCGGCCCAGGAAACAAAAACCCATCGAATAAGTCACAAACTCCTAAAATCTTAACTTTGCAAGAATTATCGAAAGCAGCATTAAAAATTGCCTCCTTTTCTCATAAGCAAAACAACAATGACAGTAAATTATTTAATGACCAAAGCAGATGATAAATAAGCATTCATGAGGAACAGAAAAAAATCGTTTTTTTTTTGCGACATTCAAAAAAGTCTAATTTGAGTAAAAAAAAAAAATGTGTTTTTAATGAAAACTCACGCGACCAATTCGCCGAAGAAGCGTATCTTCCTGTGACAGGTGTCGAGTAGTGATAGACGCGAGGCTGTGCTGGAGGAGCTGGACGTGGAGTTATGAATGGGTGTTGACGGTGCCGAGTTGGTTGAAGAAGAAGACGATGTGTCCAGGATTGCCAGGCCCCCACGTGCTGGGGACCGAAGCATCCCAGATATCGCGTTTGTTATACTCGCCGTTGTGATCGCTTATTAGGTAATGCTTCCTTCTAGCGAGACATAATATCCATTTTTCAGTAATTCATGCAAAATTTTAGTTTTTTCAAAACAATTTGAAATATAGTCGCAGTGTCCCAAAGAGAATATCATCAAAAGCATAGAAGGTGAGGGAATCAACGGCAAACCTGCAGTGCAAAATTTCAAAGACTAGAGTTAGTCCATTCAATGGAAAACAAAAATTATTACAAAAGCAAATTCTTTAAATTAAATAAAAAGCAGCTTTAAATGCAGATAACTATTTGTAGAATTAGATTTTTTTAAAAAAATGTTTCCCTTTCCCTGGATGATTAGATTATTTAATTTCGGTATTTGATTGTAGAAAATATAATTACTTTTGCCTAATAGCTCTTATGAACTGCTTTGGAAAGTTAGAGGAATTCAATTAAAACCAACTTACAATCAAATTTGTATTTAATTAATGCGCAAGCAGATGGAGTAAGTGATGATGTATCAAACTATGACCTCGTTTGTAATTATGGAAGATTTTAAATACATATTAAGAAATTGATGTAATCCATTTTCGGATACAGATTTTCATTACAATTCGATAATTTGGGTTATCATTAGCTAAACTAATTCCAAAATTGTTGTTTCCAAATCAATCAGTTTCTATCTGTATCTAGTGTCTTCAATTCTTTTCAGAACAGGATCAGTTTGTTTTATTCCAAATCTGAATTTCCTAAAATTTCATTTCGGAATCAGTTCTGAAAACAATTGGTTATTAATAACCAATTTTAATTTTTACCGCTATGCTAATTTTACACATTTTCTATTCTGTAATTCGATGCTAATTTTTGATGTTTTCCTGATGGATCTAAAGTATCCGGAAGAAGAAACTTTTCCAATCGAGCAGCATAGAAAAAAATTAATTAAAATTGATGCAACATTCTGATTTTTTTATGACGATTTTAGTTTCCTCCATTAATTTTAATTATACTTTAAAAATTATTAATTACACACTCGTTATTAAAATAAATAACAGCGAATTTTAATAAAAGATTCAACAAGAAAAAAAAAAGTTTTAGTGATAAATTCTTTCCCTATAAAATTTCTTTTATAATCTCACATGTTTCATCATCCGAACATATTACAATATGTCGACAATGTAGGATATATATCTACAAGAAGGATTTTGGTTGCCTCAGGCTATTTCTGGGCTTCATCAAGAGACAATTGATTCAACGATCTAATAACTAAGAAGGTATACGGAGGATAACAAATCCGTTTATATATTGTTAATGCAAGCAACTGATAGTGTCTGTCATACGTTAACTAAAATCTATTTGATACATCAATATCCGTAATACAGAAAGCCATTGAATCTTCAACATAGCATTACTAATGCAAATCGCATTTCCAATTGTGTTTAGGACAGACAATTTTCAAACTAATCTCTTTGTATAAATTGAATTCAGAATTAGTTGAAAATTTTAATCAAAGAGAAAATTAATTTCACATAAATATAGTACAAAAAAAGGGATTTTTAAAATCAACCAATCAAAAATTAATCAAATTGTGATTAGTTGATTTAAAAAAAATCACGCTGAAATCGATTGTTTGTTCGACCATTTGCAATTTCGGATAAATGAAAATTCTTATATCAATTAGAAATTCTGTTAAATGGTTTTTCGGTTAAGTAAAATTCTGCAGAAAATTCGGTTTTATGGAAATTATATTAAATAATAATTCAAACAAATGTAAAATTCATCTGAAAGAATAAAATGAAAATTCTATGCAATGAAATTCAATCCAATAAAAATTCTTTAAAATATGCTTATTATGTTAAATGAAAATTCGAGCAAATAAAAATTCTGTGAAATGAATTTTCGATTATATAAAAATTATGTGATATTGAAAATCGTTTTGATGAAAATTCTGACAAAATATTAATTCGAAGAAATAAAAATTCGGCTCAAAAATAATTATGACAAATGAAATTCCATAAAATGAAAATTCTAACCAATTATTTTTAGAACATAATCATGCGTTCCAAATATTTTTGCACAAAAATTTAATCTGAGGTAGCTTATGTTATTTTTTGAATACCTGAATATGAATCTGTTATTAAAAATTCATAATAGCAGCCGAAATGTAAAAAAAATATCTTACTTATCCAAATAGTAAAAAATAAATAAATAAATAACAGATGTTTATAAAGGTTTTCGAGATCGCTGATTTCGAATTTTATAACAAATATTGTGTCTTTTAAAAGTGTTCAATAAAAAATTAATAATCAACAACAGTAATTTGGATTATTTTATTAAAATTATTTTTCATAAAATAGATCCTATTTTGCGATTTTATTTCAATTTTTTTTACATTAAAAATTAAACAAAATTTTGTATTAAAAAAAAGAAAGAATATTTTTTTAACAGCGCTAAATTATTTTTCTTTCATTTATGTAATTTTTTTTCTTATATATTGTTTATTCCAAAAGTTCAATGATCGTCGATTTGTTACTCTTATATATATAATTAGCATATCACTTTAGTTTATATCTGAAACCGTCATAATATAATAGCTTTCGATTTCTTTCGACTTTTAATTAATTGATTTTTTAAACATTAATAAATTTTCAACGTTAATTTATTATTACTCTTTCTTATTCTTATCCAAAAGGGGATTCGTATTTAGAAAAGTTTTTTTTTGTAAAGAAAAAAAAAATTTTAGAAAGCACTTATATATAGAGACCTCGAATTTTCTCGACGACAATATTGTGTAGACAATGTCCTTAGCCTTCGTTTTTCACGTTTGACTTTTATTATTGTTATTATTATCATTAATTCTTTTTATCGACATTGACACAACCCATGTTTGAACGTCAAGGTAAAATTAAGACTAAAGAATCAATATAACAAATGTGATCGAAATCTAAATAAAAAAAAAAATTTCTAGTGATAAAATTTTGCTTTTAAAAATAAATTAATTTTCTAATTCAGAAAATACTGAAACTACGTATATTTATATACTTAAAACCGTAATAATAATAATAATAATAATAATAATAATAATAATAATAATAATAATAATAATAATAATAATAATAATAATAATAATAATAGAAGAAGCTGCATTTTTTATTTGCTACATTTAAATAAATATTTCAAAATTGTTAACGTCATTAACGTATCGTCGACTTTAAATATTTTTTTTTGTTAATTTGTTATTAAATTATTATTAAATTGTTATAAATTAAAAATTTATGTATTAAATTAGCTTCAAGAATTAAGGAGTACAAGTTAACATAATCTCAAAACGTATGCCCTAGAATTTTGAGGTTATGTTTGATGTATGACCTTGAATTTTGGAAACCTAGAATCTTGAATTTTGAGGTTATGTTTGAACTAAGGCCTTGAATCTTGAAAGCCTATGCCCTAGAATTTTGAGGTTATGTTTGATGTATGACCTTGAATTCTGGAACCTAGAACCTTGAATTTTGAGGTTATGTTCCCTTTAACCTATATGTTTTTGACATAGTTAGTATAATCCTGGAGACAGCGGCGGAATTTTTTTATAATATAGAGAAATATTATATATATCATAGAAATTACATTACTGACAAGGTGTATAATGTGGATAAAATAATGTTTGTGATTTAACATACGAAGATTAAATTTAGAAAAGAATTTGAATTGCACGTATATCTGATATATATATATATATATATATATATATACAATAAGAAAAGTATAATATTATAATGTATACGTTGCAAGATATACCATAATTCGCCATAGTTTTCTGAAACATTGTAACGGGACCTTTGCTAACCGTAAAATTAACAGACCTTGGAACAGAATAGTGTTCCGTAAACGAATTTTAGGACTTTGACAGGTGCAATATATATTTCAAATGTTTCATTAAATATAATTTAAAAAACAATATATTGACATATATTATAAATTATATATTTAAATCATTTTCTCTATACAAATTTTCTTTAAAGTGAGAAACATTTTTTTTGCAAAATATCTTTAATAAAAAATTTTAAACAAAAAATTTTTCTATTGACTTCATTTATACAAAGAAAAAAAAAGTTGAGCATATTTTAGGCAAAAAATAAGCTTTGCTTTCAATTAATTAATTAAATAATAATAATACTAATAATAATTATTATTTTTGGTTGAGTTCTACACAAAAGTGTCTAAATGCATTTTTCCTCTCCTATAAATTTGCTTTAGAAAAAAATAAAATAATAACAATAATAATAAAATTAAGTAAAATAAAAATAATTTTGATAATAATAATAATAAATTTAATAAAATATTGTTCACAAAAAAATTATCTTCATTAGATCAGTAGGAATTACAAAAAAAAATTACTCAATTATATCTTAAAAAAAAAGACGTGTAAGGTTTTGAAGAAATAATAAAAAAAAAAATAAAAAAATTTATAAAGAAAAATTGCCGACTATCAAAAAATTTAAATAGAAGAGAAAAAGTGAAATTGAGAAATTAAGGAAGTGTTGGTAAAGCCTGCCTGATAATTATATGGAATTTGACGAAAGAACCCAGGCAACCAACCTCAACCAATTAATTTTGAAAGGATAGATGTTAGGAGATAATTGAATTAAGTGTAAAGCGTTACTGAGTCTCTAAAGAAATGCATACTGCATTTAATCGTTCATTTTGCACGCGAAATAATTTGTTAAATATATCATTTCTTTTTCAAAACAAACTCAAGAGCGACTTTTTTTTTAAATTTCATTTGTCATAATTATTATTTTTGAGCCGAATTTTTATTTATTCGAATTAATATTTTGCAGAATTTTCATCAAAAACAATTTTCTATATTAGAGAATTTTTATATAACCGAAAATTCATTTCACAGAATTTTTATTTATTCGAATTTTTATTTTTGTCAGAATTTTTATATGCTCGAATTTTCATTTAACATAATAAACATATTTTAAAGAATTTTTATTGGATAGAATTTCATTGCATTGAATTTTCATTTTATTCTTTTAGATGAATTTTACATTTGTTCGAATTATTATTTGATATAATTTCCATAAAACCGATTTTTCTGCAGAATTTTTACTTAACCAAAAAATCATTTAACAGAATTTCTAATTGATAGAATTTTCATTTGTCCAATATTTGCAAATGGCCAAAGAAACAATCGA